TGCCTTCTGTCTGGTCTCTGGCGCACGTGCACCGCGCCTGCTCCTACCTTGTACTCGCTGATGATGCGTGATGCCACTGCTGATAGAAATGGTCCCAGGAAAGCGCAACTCAATTGTAATTTGCCGGACGCTGCGATTCACCCGGCTGTGCCCTCCGGCACCGCTCTCTGAACCCTCGCTCCGGTGCGGTGCTCTCGGCGCCTCGGCGCTCATCGTGCCACGGTGGCGAGATGTTAACTACCTCGCCTGGTATACAGGAGGTTCGTGGGTTCGATCCCAACACCGACCCTGACGCCTGTATATGTGGAGTTTGCATTTTATGCCCCCCCATGATGGCACGGAATTTTCGTCGGGTCCCCAGTATTTCCCTCCACATTTAGAATGACCATGGGTTTCGGGTATCTGGCCGCGACTATAAACGTCCACATGACAAGCCACTGCGTGCGAGCTACAATTTGTGATGGCCGGGGCGGCTTCTTGAAAAAAATTGCCGTAGAGCTCAGTGGGGCCTTGCCTGGTAAAAAAAAAAAAAAATAGTCAAATAGCGCCACGGGTCGCGGCCGCCCTCCTGGAGGTTTAATGCCGACTTTCAAGGTCGTCTGGGGCGCCCGTCTGTCGCTCTCTCGCGCACACACGGAGTCACCCGTGGTCGCTTTCTTTTAATTTGGAGGACCAAAACAATCTCGTCTTTTTTTTTACTGCAGAAGACACGGCGTAGAATTCAGAAATAGCCACTGCAATTGACAGACCCCTTTTTGTTGTTGTCGTCCCGCGGTTCAAAACCAAACCTGTGCCGCGCGGGCGGCAAAAATGAACAAGCTGGTCAACTGGCCTCGTGTCTGCAATCTTCGGCGGGGTATGAAAACCTTGCCGATCACACTCAGCGGTCGTGGTTCAACTCCTCCTTACTCCACTCGCAGTTCGCTAAAGCACTGTGCGGAGGTGATCACGTGGCTCAGCGTCCATGGCGCCGAGCTAGCACTGACAGGGTACCTGAAGGTTGGATGCCGAGGTGGTGAGAATCAGACGCGGCGGCTTTGGTCATGCTGGAAGAATCCGATGAGCCGTGAAGCTCTTTTATCACAGATGTCCAGTAGGGGAACGGGTCAGGAAGTTTTGATTTAAAGCTTTCATGACTGCAGGGATTCATATTATTGGTTCTTTAGGTAAAGACACGTAGAAGGGAAACAATAAAATAATAAAAATATTAAACAATAAAATTCTCACGACGTTTCGACTGCAACATAAGCAATCATCATCATCAGGTGTGAAAAACACAGCAAGAAAATTTGAAAAAAGTGGCGTTTTTTTCTTAACGTCAGCACCACGGACAGCGGTTTGGCAGTTGTTCAGATGGACGAGTCCATCTATGTTCGCAAAAGAGGAGGGGGGAGAGGAAGAGAATGGAATGCGGTCTGAAAGTCACCGTCAGCGTGAACACAATCAATTAAGACCCGAAAGTTACAACACACAATACAAAAACACGATAGGAGTGCAAAGTATAAGAAAGTAAACAAATCACGAAACTAAAACTATTTTTTATTTTACCAGGTAAAGCACACTGAGCTATTAGCTTCTTTTCCCGAAGCGACCTGGCCACAACGAAGTGGCTTATGACGTGAAAAATGTATAGCAGCCAAATCATAGTCACCTGTAATTGAGACCGAGTTCTCAAGTGGCGACTGCATAACCTCTCTATCATTTGTTTTCTACGCTTAATTCGGCGAGCCCGGAGAATTTAAACTATCGATTGAATTGACACGTGACAAACATCCCATAGCAGAATAAATACGCAGCCGATACGCGTCTCACATCAGCGTCTCCACGTACAAATTAAAACTATTTCTTACACAACCCATTAACCGCACAGCCTTCTGGGGGATGTGCATCATTTCCCAAATCGTTGATTCCAGACAAGCAAACCTTCTGGCCCAGTTTCATCGGGTGGCTTCCTCGGGGTCTGGCAGATGTTAAGACAATGGGTTCTTAGTTGGATACAAAACTACATCATACATGTAGTCCACTTATTTATTTTTCTCGATATATTTTATTCCAGATGCCCCCCCCTCCCCCCTCTGCCGATGATGATTATGTTGAGTTATGTATCTCATAGCAGAGTGTGCGAGGGTTTAAACGGAGAAGTTTCACAAACAGATTTCAACTTTCACAGCCTCACGCGAAGCAAACGCAACGTCTGTCTTGGGATTTCCCGTTGGATTCTTTGCCTGGTGGCAGTAGTAGTGGTATAACAGTAACACCTCGATATACTCAGTTGATGCGTCCCTGGAGTTTCATTCGTACATATTGCAACTTCGTATAGTATAAATCACTTGTAACTTTAGTACGATTAGGGGGCGTTCCCAGCCTTAGGAACTTCCCGTTTCATACTGTTAACACTTCATAACTTACCATTCATATTGCAAACAACAAAGACAATTTATGTTGAAAATAATATGATATTTTACACTGTACCGTATTAAAAACTCACGTAAATAAAATAAACGCAGTGAAGAAACGTAACTTTCATTCTTATTAATATAGTACTGGAGATTGACAAGTATTATTTTGTAATGTCAGTGTTTATTTGTTGTATTTTTCTATTTTTTACATTAAAATAATGGCATTAAATCCAACGCTCATGAGACTAGAAGTCCGTCTATCAAGGGATCACTGTTCAATTACATGACGGCACATCGTGGGAGTTGGGAATGATAACTGTTGTACATTTAAAAACCACTCTGAAGCGCTCTTCCGATGATTCATTTACAACGGTGGAGTTGAATGGCTCTGCGACATAGATCATTGTACGGTTCTTTCCTAAATCTTGGTGGACTACACTTCTTTGTCGCTGATAAGCATGCATCACAATGTTTTTCTGGGGTTTTACCTCCAACCCTCTCCTCCCAAGGGACTGCTCAGAAACCATAAGGGCAGGGCTGGCATCCCTCCCACAGCAACCCCCCCCCCCCCCCACTTTCCACCACCCACTCACCGCCCCCCCCCCCCCCACTCTCAAATGAAATGTCCGATATTCAGCTGTAAATGAGGTGCTAAATCAAGTGGCTGTCAGCCACGCAAGCCCCATTATGCTCCCGATTATAGAGGACATCATCAGTCTGCTGCCTTCTGGCACAACAACAACAGCAACTACGACGACAACAACGACAACAACAACAACACCAACAACAAACAGCAATGTTGGCTCGCCGCGTTAAAATGCCAATGCAGCCGCAAATGCCACTCGCGCGCTTGATGGAAGAAAATTGGTCCCGAATTTTGATTTATGAATGCGTGCGTTTATTGAATGGTGTTTTGACCGATTAGCTTATTATTTGCCTCTAACCTTATCGGCTGACGCACGCCCGGTCTCGTTGAACTTCTTTCGCGCCGTACGTAGCCAACCATGCTCATCGGAGTCTCGTGAGCTGAGCAGGTTAGAGCCTAGATGGTCAGTCCTTGTATTTGGCAACCGCCACGCCACGTACAAGGCCTGTCGTGCCAACATGTGTTCGTCACTATTCACAATATTATCATCATTACAATTTACATCAGGCGCTCAGTCACTCGCTCGCGGGCTAAAGAAAAATAGTGGGAAGCAGTAGATAGAAATTTTACGACGCGTATATGACATACGTATTGCTCATATTTAACTCGTTTTTTTTTGTAGCGGACACGCTCATGAGTGCGTTGCTCCCGTCTGTTTGGGGGTTGTATTTATTATTGAACGTAATCTTCTTCCCCCCCCCCCCCCCCGGGACCAATGTAAATCCCGAGCGGAATCTAAAAATCCCGCGCGTCCGACGAAGTAATTAAGACGGAAAAAAAATGTGCCGATGCACAGTGTGTTGAGCGCACGGTGCAAATACTTTGTCCTGGGCAATTAATGCTCACTTCTGCGAGCCGCAGTGCAGCTGTTGGTTTTAATTATTTTTAAAAAATTGATGAATAAATTCGTCGAAATGAAATGTTCTATTTTTTACGGAAGCATTTAAAAGCAAGCGTGTATGTATGTTGAACTTGTTTCATACCGTACGCAGCCAACCACATGAATCAGAGGTGCGGGGGGAAGGACAACAAACTTAACACAAAAAGCAGTTCGAAAGAAATGCGTCTTCAGTCTAGTTTTATAAGTGCGTAGCTCCCAGCGGATCCCTAATATCGTAAGGAAGAGCATTCCAGACGGCCGCAGAAGCGCACCGACGGCCAGCCAGAAGCCGCTGCTACTAAGAGGGCGACCGGAGGTCACGTGATGAACCGTTGTGTGTGCGCGAGCGGTCCTTCGCGAACGTTGAAGCGTGGATGCACCGGGGAAAGGGAGTTCCAGACTGTGGGGGCAGCGGAGGAGAGTAACCGACTTCCCACTGAGCAAAGGTCGATTCGGGCGGCTTCAACGGAAGGTCCCGCCTGCCAGAGCGAAGTGTGAGATGAGAGATGTTGGCAAGCGGCGAGTCCACGGAGGACCTTGAAGGTGGTGAGAGGGTTCTTGAAATTAATCCAGGATTGAACCGTTTGGAGCCAGCGGTGGTGGGGGGGGGGGGGGGGGAATTGGAATTTTTCGGTGACTTGGTCTCATGTCGAGGGTGTAGAGCAGCAACCAATTGAAATCCCGGGTATGGGTTTGACAGGTGCAGGGAACAAGGACCCATGCCACGGCATAAGTGTCGTACAGGATAACAAAAATTAACAAGCGCTCATAACACACTCGTGCTGTCTCTGCTGTCTGTCCGTCCTCCTGTCCATGGTCTGTACGCAGCTGTTGCCGCTCTTGTCAGTTGAAACACGCGGTTGTTTTTGTCCACATCCTACCGTTCGGCAAAAACAAAAACCCGCAGCCCTTTAACCATCCGCACATATCGGCACGCGTGAAACCGGCAGCGCCGAGGGCTCGCGATGCCTCGGCTGGCGGCAACAACGCCGACGACTCTGGCCGGCGGCGGCGACGGCGACGATCGTGACCGGTGACCGTCGTTCCGCCCCCTCCCCCACCTCCCCACGTGCAGCGTGGAGGGCGAGACGGGAGCCTCCGTGGGCGTCGACCGGCAGGCCTCCGCTCACGGGCCCTCCGTCCCCGGGGCGCCGGCGCCGCAGGCCCACCACGCTCCTCCTCCTCACCCCCACCAGGCGCACGGCCCGCGGTCTGGCCAGGCCGAGGGGCCCGCGGGGCCGGAGCGGCACCCACCCCAGCTGCGGTCGTCGCCGCCGTCCTTCCACCACCCGTCGGCGGCGGCGGCGGCGTCGTCGCGGCGCCTCCGCCTGCAGCACGGCTGCTCCGTCAACTCGTCGTCGGCGTCGTCGTCGTCCGCCTCTGCGTCGTCCGCCTTCGCCAAGAAGCACGTGGAGGAGGAGGCGATCAAGCGCTCGCGCTCGCTGTCAGGCACCTACGAGCTCTCGGCCGACCTCCAGGACAAGCAGGTGAGCCGTCGCGGGCTCTGTCACCATCGCCGTCGTCGTCATCATTGTCGTTATCATCATTGTCACCATCGTTATCATCGCCATCATCATCGTCATCGCCATCATCATTGTTGTCATCATCGCCATCATCGTCGCCGTCATCATCATCGTCGCCGTCATCATCATCGACATCGTCGTCATTGCCATCGTCATCATTATCACCGTTGTAATCATCATCGTCATTGCCATCGCCATCATCATCACCGTCGTAATTATCGCCATCGTCATCATCGTCTTCATCATCGCTGTCGTCGTCATCGCCGTCGTCATCATGACCGTCGTCGTCATCGCCGTCATTATCATCGACATCATCGCCACCGTCATATTTATTAGGAAGCCACTAGAGCTATGGACTCTTAAATCCAGATTGAAAACTCATTTCTTCAGAGCCGCCTTTTGTGATTAGTTTGTTGTCCTTTCCCCCGCGCCTCCAATTAGCACGGTCGGCTACGTACGGTGCAAAAGATGCTGCTGAGCAGTGCCTTCTTGAAATTGATCTGCGATTGAGATTGGGAGCCGGTGGAGCCATCCGGGTGAATGGGGTGACGCGGTCTGGTTTGCGGACACGGGCGACAAATTTGTCGGCGGCATTTGCGATTGTCCCGAGTCTGGAGGGGTGAGTTGTCGCCGTCGAGGAGGCGTGGGTCATGGTCTCAGCAGCAGAAGCACGGAAGAGATGTTGTGCAGATGGTGTTGACGACGTCCTGCAGAGTTGAGGTTTGTGGGACTAGAAAGGAAGTTCGGGATGAATGGCACTACCAATTCTAGATTTGAAGCTTTCGTGACTGCAAGGATTCATACTCTTTGGTTCTTTCGTTAAAGTCACGTAGGTAAAAAAATGTAATAAAATAAATGTAGTTGTTTTCATTTATTTCATGATTTTTTTTACCGACGTGACTTTACCGACACTACCAATGTTTCAATTGCTCCCTGCCAGTGTAATGCCACGGCTTCAGAGCTAAACACTCGAATGGATTCTTTTATTGAAGGCGGACGTTTTTTTTTCGTCGGGCCGACGTGGAGCGCTTCAGTTTTTTTTGTTTTGTCGACACTCATCCAGAGGAAGTTGAAATCAATCCCCGAGATCGGGGCAGCATGCGGGGAGGGCCGTGGGTCGCCGCCGAGTTCATTGTGGCCGACCGGCGATGCAGAATACCCAGCCAGCAGGACGCAAACGGAGGTCCGCACGAACGCGTGCGGACCTCCGATCGTTCTTCCGCGTTGCCGCTGTGGGGGGGGGGAGGCCGTGCGCCCCCTCCCCCCCCATGCTCCCCCCCCCATCTCTATGATCCCCACGCTCTCACTCACTCTCTCTCACTCTCTCACTCTCTCACTCGCTCACTCACTCTCTCACTCTCTCTATCTCTCTCACACTCCTCTCACTCACTCTCTCACTCACTTTCTCACTCTCTCACTCACTCTCTCTCTCTCACTCTCTCTCTCTCTCTCACACTCCTCTCACTCACTCTCTCACTCACTTTCTCACTCACTCTCTCACTCACTCTCTCTCTCTCTCACTCTCTCTCACTCACACTCACTCTCACTCACTCTCTCACTCATTTTCTCACTCACTCTCTCACTCTCTCACTCATTCACTCTCTCTCACTCACTCTCTCACTCACTCACTCTCTCTCACTCACACTCTCTCACTCACTCTCTCACTCTCTCACTCACTCACTCTCACTCACTCTCTCTCTCTCAAACTCTCACTCTCTCACTCACTCACTCTCTCTCTCACTCTCTCTCTCTCTCTCACACTCACTCTCTCACTCATTCTCTCTCTCTCACTCTGTCCCCCGCACGTGGCAGGTGGAGATGCTCGAGAGGAAGTACGGCGGCCACTTCCTGACCAGCAGGGCGGCGTCCACCATCCAGTCGGCCTTCCGCCAGTACCAAATGAACAAGAACTTTGAGCGACTCCGCTGCTGCCTCTCCGAGAGCCGCCTGCCGCGCCGCCTCGCGCTCGCCTCCATGCGCTCGCAGCTCTCGCTCGAGGGGGCCGACGCGGGCGCCGGCGCCTCCCGCTCCTCCTTCGGCGAGGGCGAGCCGGCCTCGGCGTCGAAGGGGTCACCGCCCGGGCGGACGCGGCACGGCGGAGAGCCGGCGCCGCGCGACGGCGCAGGCATCGGCGCCGCGAGCGAGCAGCCGCCCCGGCTGCCCCCGACCGACTCGCGGGACGACGGCGACGCGGCGGCGGCGGGGGGGATGCACGGCGGCTTCGGGCTGGCGTCGGCGCTCGGCATGGACCTCTCGGCGCTGTCGGCGCTGTCGGCGCCGGACGACTTCGCCGACACCATCACGGAGCTGGAGGACGCCTTCTCGCGCCAGGTTAAGTCGCTCGCCGAGTCCATCGACGACGCGCTGGTGAGCCGCGGCTGCCTGCGGCTGGGCAACAACGCCCGCCGGTCGGAGACGCCTATCGCCCGGAGCCCGAGCGCCGCCGCCGCCGCCTGCCGGGCCGGTGCGGCGGACGACGGCGGCGGCGCCGCCCCGGGGTGCTCGGGGTCGAGGGGCGACGCCGCGCGCGAGGAGGCAGGTGCCGTCGCCGTTCCGCCCGCTCCGCCCGCTCCGTACGACGACGACGACGCCGACCCCGTGGCGTTCACGGCGGGGGACTTCCCGCTGCCGCCACCGCCGCCGCAGTTTTCTCCGCAGCAGAGCACGCAGGCGGAGGGTGACGAACCCATCACGGTCCCCCCAGAGGGGGGCCCGGACTCGACCCCGGCGCCGATCATCGTCGCGGCGGCGGACGCGAATGAAGCGGCGGCCTCTATCGGCAACACCGTGGTGACGGTGGTGGTCACCGATCAGCACGGTGGGCAGCTGCGGCAGCAGCAGCAGCAGGCGAGGGATGCTCGGAAGCATGACGCACGAGGGGGGGACGCGGGCGAACGGGGGCGCGCGCCGCGCGGAGCCCTGCGACCTGGTGCGCTGCTCGTCGGAGAGCCGCGAGGGCCCTTCGGCGGCGCGGCTCGGCGTCGGCCGGGGCCAGCAGAGGCGCGTCTCCTGCCCTGAGTGCGGCGGCGCCGGCGGACCGCCGGCGACGGGGCCGGGCTGCGCGCGGCTCCCCCTGCTGACGGTGGAGCCGGCGAGCGACAGCTCCCTGGACGCCGGGAGCGAGCGGGCGGAGAGGGTGGCGCTGAAGCGGCAGGACGCGCGTGACGACCAGGAGGGCAGCCCCACGCACGGTGGAGCGGCGAGGTCCCAGCAGCAGCGACGGCAGCAGCAGCAGCAGCAGCACCGGCAGGCGGCCGCGGATGACGTAGCGCCCATAGTCATCGTGAAGCGACGCACAGGTACCGCGAAGTCGGCTGTTTTGTCAACGAGTTGCCATTGCATGGTGAGGATGGTGGTGGTGGTGGTAGTGACAGTGATGATGAGAGTGATGATGATGACAATAATGGTCAGAATGATGATGGTGATGATGATGATGATGGTGGTGACAATGACGGCCAGGATGTTGATGCTGAAGATGACGATAACGATGGCAACGGCGATGATGATGTCACCACGTAGGCCGGCACACCGATGGGGGCCACCTGGGCGTGAACGGAGGCGGCGCGGTGAAGCCGACGGCTGCCCCCTGCGTGCCGTCGTCCTCCTCCGCCGCCGCCGGCAACGCCGCCGGCAACACCGGCACGCACCGCCGCGCCAGCCGCTCCGAGTCGGACTTCTCCGACGGCGAGGACGGCGAGAACGAGAGCGTCAACTCGGTGAACTCCAACTCAAACGAGACGGCCAACTGCAGCTCGGGCTCGTCGTCGCGCGACAGCCTCCGCGGGGAAGCCGCCGCGGCCGCCGCCGCGCTCAGCCGCCCCTCGTACCACCGGGAGACCCGGCACAGCTGGGACTCGCCCGCCTTCAGCAACGACACCCTGCGCAAGCGCCACTACCGCATCGGCCTCAACCTCTTCAACAAGTGCGTGACGGCGGCGGCGGTGGCGGCGTTAAGGGTCGCCAGGTCGAGCGTGCCGTGTTGCGCGCCGGTTAGGGTCGGGGGCCTGGGCGGGTGGGGCGGGGCTGTAACTTAGCGGCTTCGTGCGACGTGGGTTGTTCAGGACCGCCGTCTCGTGATTCACGTGCACTGCCGGCTCTTGGAATACCGAATTCGGAAGAAATTGCACTTCTTGTCGCTGTGGTTTGCCGACCCCCCTGGGTTAGTGTCAGGAGGGTGCAGCGTGTGAGGTGCCGGTTTACGGGGGTTAAGGGTCGGAGGTTGGCTATTTGGGGTTGGATCAGGGTGGGCGGTTCGGGCGTGAGCCTAAAGTCAGTGCCGTACTGAATGCGATGAGGCCGATGGCATCAACGGGGAGACAAAATGCTGCTGGCCCCACAACCTCGACCCACTGTGTGCTATGGTGGAATCAATCGGTGTTCACTAACTCTAGGTGCTCGGTTTGCAATAGCACGGTTGCCACAATGCGCAAGGAATCCAGTGACCCGAGTTCGATTCCCGCTCATGGCCAACACCAGTGAAGATTATCTGAACCGGTCCTGGGTCTCCCCGAGGTCGACTCAGCCTGAAATGATTACCTGGTGTGGTGTAAACATCGACACTGAGACAACGGCGGATGGGTGTGGTGCTGGCTACTCACCATCCTCCGTGTGCCGTGCCGGCCTTCATCGGTGCTCGCTAACAGCACTTTCCCCAAAAGTCTGTTAAAGGCTATACAGGGATATTTGTCTGTGTGCAGATCCGTTTCAGTGACTTCTGGCCCACAACAGTAAGAGGGTAGCGCTTTCTCAGCCACTCCATTGATGTCCAGAAGCATACGAGAGCAATGTTCGTCACATACCGGTCAAACTCATTCTTAATTGTCAGAGCTGAAAGTTAGCCAATATTGAGTGAAAAATAAATGCCTTTAGATTATTGTGCGTGTGTGTGTGTGGGGAGCGGTAGGGAGACAAAGGCAGCCAGGCGTTGTGCTGGCCACCCACCCCCTCGTGTGCTGTTCCGGCTTTCATAGGTGCTCGCTAACAGCACTTTCCCCAAAAGTCTGTTGAAGGCTATACGGGGTGGGGGGGGGGGTCTTTGTCTTTGCATGTTTGCGCAAGAACACACCAGACGAGCATAATTGTGGTTTGATGTTCACGCACGTGTGAAGCTTTATCGATATTAATCCAGATTGCACGCAAAGCGCTCGCCACAAATCAACCAAAAACCTTGCTGATCTCGTCAAGGATAAACTATCGCGTAACGGCTTTTGGATAACCATTGAAGAAAGACAGTCACCACGTCGTACGCTTTCAGGTGAGCTTCTGCGGCCATCTGCAATGCTCTTGGGAAGCCACTGGAGCTATGCACTTAAAAATCATATTCTTAGGTTTTTTTCGGTAAAGTCACGTAGGTAAAAAATTAAAATTAATAAAAGTTAAATTTAAATTAAATAAAAATCACGACGTTTCGGAGGCAACACAAGCTTCCGTCTTCAGGTGGAACACAAGCTTCCGTCTTCCACCTGAAGACAGAAGCTTGTGTTGCCTCCGAAACGTCGTGATTTTTATTTTATTTTTATTTTACTTTTATTAATTAAAACATTTTTTACCTACGTGACTTTACCGTAAAAAACCTAAGAATATGAATCCTTGCAGTCACGAAAGCTTCAAATCTAGAATCACTTTTAAATCATCAAGTTTGAAAACTCATTTCTTGATAACTGCTTTTAGCGTTTAGTTTGTTGTCCTTCCCCCGCACCTCAAATTAGCACGGTTGGCTACGTACGGTGCGAAAGAAGTTCAATATACATCCATGCACTACGACACTACTATACACTATATTCTACACTACTATACACTACACTAGTATAAACTACACTATGCACTACACTACTATACACTCCACTACTAAACAATACACTACACCTCAATACTACAATGAGACCACATTTTTTTCTACTGCTTTTTACGTTTAGTTTGTGCTTCCCCTGCACCTCCAATGAGCACGTCTGTCCACGTGCTGCGCGAAAGAGGTTCAATGTACGTACAAACATTCTGTGTACGAGCCGAGTGACCTTTGCCCACTGACCTCTGACCTCCCCCTCCCCCCTCCCCCCGGCGGGCGCAGGAAACCGGAGCGCGGGATCCAGTTTTTGATCGAGCGCGGCTTCGTGCCGGACATGCCGGTCGGGGTGGCGCACTTCCTCCTGCAGCGCAAGGGGCTGAGCCGCCAGATGATCGGGGAGTACCTAGGCAACCGGCAGAAGCAGTTCAATCACGACGTCCTCGAGTGAGCTTCCACACGGACGCACACACACGCATGCGCACGCGCGCGCGAAGCCTCATCTTTGCTTTGGCCTCCCGCCGTGCGTGTGATGTCGGGAGCGCATGTTGATGAAACGGATCGATTTGTTTGGGCGTCTGAAACGAGGCCAGGATGTTCCTATTCCACACTCCGGGGCCACAGTTCTGCCCATGGAAACGGGGTGGAGTGTTCCAGGTGTGTGGTGACACACGGTGGGGGGGGAGAGAGAAGCGCAGCGGAGTAAAGTTTTGGGCTCAAAAGGCCAGCAGTGTCAATTGTCGGCAACTGATGCCGGAGTCGTCTGACGTTAAAACGTTTTGTTTCGTCGCGTAAGTAAAAACAAACGAACGCGTATCTTTAGAAGACGTCAACCGTGAAACTCTCCCGATCCATGTGACCCCATTTTCTACCAATTGGAGCGCTGAAAATTCCCGTGTGACCTCGGTTCAGCCAATCAGCGATGCCAGTTCCAGAGATGTGAAGTTTAATGGTGAAGATGCTGCCATGGTTGCTATTTGTGAGCATTACCGTTCCAGAGGTCATAAATTTGATCTTAATTTCTCATAATGTTTTTACCAGGTAAGGCCCATTGAGCTGTATAGCTGTTTTTTTCAAAAGCGACTGGCCACAAATGATTGCTCATCAAAGTGGCCTGTCATCACGTGGAAATGTATAGCAGCCAAATACTCTGAACCGGAGGGGAAAACCTGTGCACCCGGAGAAAAATACATGCAATCATGGGGACGGAGAAAACGCAAACTCCAAATACACAGCAGGCGTCAGGGTCTGGATCGAACCCACGACCTCCTGTATACCAGGCGAGGTAGTTAATATACAGCAGGCGTCAGGGTCTGGATCGAACCCACGATCTCCTGTATACCAGGCGAGGTAGTTAATATACAGCAGGCGTCAGGGTCTGGATCGAACCCACGATCTCCTGTATACCAGGCGAGGTGGTTAATACACAGCAGGCGTCAGGGTCTGGATCAAACCCACGATCTCCTGTATACCAGGCGAGGTAGTTAATATACAGCAGGCGTCAGGGTCTGGATCGAACCCACGATCTCCTGTATACCAGGCGAGGTGGTTAATACACAGCAGGCGTCAGGGTCTGGATCAAACCCACGATCTCCTGTATACCAGGTGAGGTGGTTAACATCCCAGAGAAAAATCACTCAACAACGGTGCGAGTTTTTTAAATCTCCCCCCGCCCTTCCACGCCACCGCCTCTGTCCACCCAGCACAGTCGCTGCATCGCATTTAGTCCATGGTCGGCAGGTCACGTGTGGTGGGGTAAAGTGTGGGCACCCCTACCCCTTCCGAGCGACGTGAAAGAGTAGGCCAAAGCGCCCTCTTGAAGGGGCGCACTCTCGCAGGGCTGCACTTTCACCCCCTCCTCACGATTGGAACCTCAATTGCCAGTAGAAAATTATGATAATTGTTTTTTTACCCTTTTATCTGGCAACAAAACTGACACCTTTTTTACGAGGAGTCATGTTTGCATAGGCCACAATACCTGCAGTCATAATGCAAACAAAATAAAACATAACTCTGATAATGTATGAGTTGTGCGCCTTTTGGCGTCATCTGGTCCAACACCATGTGAGACTAGGCTCTAAGGAAAGCTGTCTCGAGTGTGGACCAATCAACTTCAAGGACAGTGCATACATTATCAGAGTTATGTTTTTTGTTTGCATTATGACTGCAGGTATTGTGGTCTATGCAAACATGACTAAAAAAGGTGCCAGTTTTGTTGCCAGATAAAAGGGTAAAAAAACAATTATCATACCTCCTCACGTTCCCATTAAACGCCCGTCCGTGCGCGTGCGCCCGTGCGTTTGTCCTGCCCAGCTGCGTGGTGGACGAGATGGACTTCTCCGCGATGGAGCTGGACGAGGCCCTGCGAAAGTTCCAGGCTCACATCCGTGTGCAGGGCGAGGCGCAGAAGGTGGAGCGGCTCATCGAGGCGTTCAGGTGACGACGGCGGAGCGCGCGGCCTGGGACGGGTTTGGGTTGCGAGGGTTTGGGTTGCGAGGGTTTGGGTTGCGAGCGTTTGGGTTGCGAGGGTTACGAGGGTTTGGGTTGCGAGGGTTTGGGTTGCGAGGGTTTGCGTTGCGAGCGTTTGGGTTGCGAGGGTTTGGGTTGCGAGGGTTTGGGTTGCGAGGGTTTGGGTTGCGAGGGTTTGGGTTGCGAGGGTTTGGGTTGCGAGGGTTTGGGTTGCGAGGGTTTGGGTTGCGAGGGTTTGGGTAGCGAAGGAAGGGGTTGCGAGGTTTTGGGTTGCGAGCGTTTGGAGTGCGAGGGTTGCGAGGGTTTTGGTTGCGAGGGGCCTCAGGGCTAACAGGAGGTGGAGTCGACAGTAACACCCAGATTTACGTGTCGCCCTTTTACGTTGTTTGGCAAATACATCGTCACTTTATGATTGACACCGCCAGCTGATTTGTGTCACATCACACCCCACACTTACATCTCTGACGGCATCGTCCGTCCTTTCTCGTGAGCCGTCCCCTCCACCACCTACCCCTGTAAATGGCTTTGATTTGCGTCGTTTCGATATCCGCCGTCGCACCCTTCAGGAACGCGTCCCCGGCGTGAACTGGGGTTGCGTAGTTTCAGGATTTTGTGTGTTGAGTTTGTTGTCCTTCCCCTGTGCACCTCCGACTAGCATGGTCGGCTATGTACGGTGCGAAAGAGGCTCAACACACACGTACATTGGAACACCTTCGACGTTTATTAATTGCTGTACGAATCCCCGCGTCGTCGCGCGCTTGTGACCGTCTGCCGTGTGCGTGTGTGTGTGCGTGTGTATGTGTGTGCATGTGTGTGCGCGTGCGCTATGAACCTGGCGACCCGGGTTCGATTCCCGCTCACGGCTAACACCAGTGACGATTATCTGAACCGGTCCTGGGCCTCCCCTAGGTCGACTCAGCCTTAAATGAGTACCTGGTGCGGTGTGTAAACATCGCCACTGGGGAGACAAAGGCGGTCGGGCGTGGTGCTGGCCACCCACCCCCTCGTGTACCGTTCCGGCCTTCATAGGTGCTCGCTAACAGCACTTGCCCCTACAGTCTGTTAAGGCTATACGGGGGATCTTTGTCTTTATCTTTGTGTGCGTGCGCCGCTCTCGCGATTGCAGCCAGCGCTACTGCCTGTGCAACCCGGACGTCGTGCAGCAGTACCACAACCCGGACACCATCTTCATCCTCGCCTTCGCCATCATCCTGCTCAACACCGACATGTACAGCCCCAACGTAAAGCCCGAGCGCAAGATGCGGCTCGACGACTTCGTGAAGAACCTGCGAGGTACGGCGGCGGCGGTGGCAACGGTGGTGGCGGCAGAGGAGGCCACGAGCTCAGGGTCACGTGGCTCCCCCCCCCCCTCCCCGTTGTTCAGTCGGGTCGCCCAGGACGATCAGGAGCACCACGGCCAAATTGTGCGGTCACGTAGCGATGGAATGCTTGAGCAACCGGTTGCACAGACAGCCACAAAGGTGATTCAGTTGCGTGCAACTGGTTGCTCAGGTGTGTAGCCGGTTTAGCGAGCCGGTTGCGCAACCGCTCACGACCGGGTTGCGGAGATGTCCACATACAAGCAACTCGGTTCGCGTTCCACCAAGTTGCACGCAACTGATCACCCCGGTGGCCCGGCGTTCGCATGGCCTCCGCAAAACTCTGCGTTGGGTGGGGCGTTGGGTAGCACGTGCTAAACCGTGCCGTTTTGTCCCACGCCACCCGGCACCGGGCCCAGGCGTGGACGATGGCGCCGACATCCCACGGGAGATCCTGGTCGGGATCTACGAGCGGATCCAGAAGCAGGAGCTGAGGACCAACGACGACCACGTCACGCAGGTCACCAAGGTGGAGAAGTCCATCGTCGGCAAGAAACCGGTAATGCCAGCGACGAGCCGTCCCTCCGTCCGGGGACATGGGGACGAAAACCATTAGACAATTTTTTTTATTTTCCCAGGTAAGGCCCACTGAGCTATATAATAATTAACTTTTTTCATAAGCGACCTGGCCACAAATGATAGCCGAACGAAGTGGCCGCTTATCATCACGTGAAAATGTATATCAGCTAAATACTCTGAACGCGCGGTGGTTCTAAATGTGGAGAGAAAAACCGGAGGGCCCGGAGAAAAATCCACACGGCCGCAGGGAGAACATGCAAACTCCAAGTGTACACGCGTCAGGGTTTGGTTCGAATCCACGACCTCCTGCATACCGGGCGAGGAAATTAACACCTTGCTACCGTGGCACCGGATCCCGCGACCCACGAGAAACGAGGGGGGACGCGGGGATACGTCGGTGCAGGAATGCACGGTGCAGAGGAACTTGCACACGAGGGCATGAGTACGGGGGAACCTGAGCACCAGGGAACACAAGGGTATGGCGATAGGCACGGGTATACAAGGATCTAGAGAAACAGGTACACGTGGGCATCAAGACGCAGGTACGGGCTGAGTCGACCAGGGACATACCTCGTATACTGGTTATGGTTCAGATGTGAAACGACAACTACCGTCGCCATTCGCCACTAAGTGATGGGGACACCAGCACATTGTTCCTTGTGCCAGACTAGGTGCACTTTGAGGCCACGTGAAGTGGCATAGGCCCGCTGGCAGGAGGTCACAGGACCTGTCCCAGGTATTATGGGTTAACTGACTGGGACGACGGGCAGATGGACCGCCTGCTCTCTCCACCGTGCCAACTCTTTGGCACGCACAATAAAAACAAATATCCCCCATGTAGCCTTAACAGGCTGTTGGGGCAAGTGCTGTTAGCGAGCAGCATCGATGAAGGCCAGCACGGCACACGAGGCGGTTGGTGGCCAGCACCACGCCAGAGCGAATCACGCGCGTGGCACGCACACACACGCGCGGGCACATACGCACACACACACACGCACACATTTATTGCAGAATTTCCTCTGGCATTTAATGGCCGAGTTTCCAGGGTCACCGCGCTTGCCTCTTTCGCAGCTCCAAGTGGGCGGAGATTATTTGGGAGGACGGTGGGGGGGGGTGGTGGCAATGCAATTCAGAGGGCTTGGCCCGAGACAAACGACCCTGGGCACCTACTCCACAATTTTGTGTGCACCAAGTTTGGCATTTAACGTAATCGTGTTCTCTTGGCTCCGGGCGAAAGATATTTGCAGCTCGGGGTGGTGGAGGGGGGGGGGGTTGCGCAAGGCTTGCGATGTTATTTTACTCACCTTTTTTCGCCCACGGCTTTTGTTCGTCTTCACGTGACAAGGCGATGAAAATGTAGATTCGAAACAATGTTGCAAACGTTTGCAAAGGAGTTCTAAACAGAACACGGCGATGTGCATTGGCACATGGTCGTGTCATGGCGTAAATATAAAACGATAATGATGATGATGATTTGTTGTTGAGAGACTGATTAGAAGATTATGAATTGCTGATGAGGCATTTAAATGAGAATACGTATCGCCTCCTGTAGCCACGAATCATCGATGAAATGTATACGCTGTCAGGACGAAAAGGAATCAATAAGAAGGAAATGTTTGCGTATTTTGGTTTGTTTTTAAGATCCAGGTAAATATTTTGTAGAACACTCCCTCTTCTTCAGACATCCCTCGTGGTCTCAACTAAGACGAAACGACGTTAACTTTCATAACTCTTACGAGTGAGGTCACGGGATAGTTAACGTCCACCGTGAATCAGACGAGCGCGCAGTGGTCGTGTTTTGACGGTTAAAATACCCGCAGTACTAAACCATTAAACTAAACTTTATATATTTTTATTTGACCAGGTAAGGCTCACTGTCGTCATACAGCTCCTTTGTCAGAAGCGACCTGGCCACACATGACCGCTCAACAAAGTGGCGGCCTGTCACCACGTGGAAATTTATAGCGGTCGCCAAATACTCTCTAAACGTCCCCCGCCACCCCTCGCTGCTGCGAAAAACGTGACACGACCTGAACAAGAAAGATGCTTCAGACTCAATGAGGCCTTTCCTGGGTACACAAGCGTAATATTATAATAGGGTTTTTCCCATTTTTTTCTGGAAACAAAACTAAAACCTTTTTTTACAAGGAATCATGTGTGCATTAACCACAATACTTGTGGTCAAAATGCAAAAAAAACACACTCTGATAATATATGCATTGTCCTTGAAACTGATTGGTCCACACCAGGGACGGCTTTCTTTTGAGCCTCATCTCAATTGGTGCTCAACCAGAGGACGCCAAAAAGCGTACAGCTCAAAGACAATGCACTATCAAAATACTGGCAAAGGAGGTCTAGTGATGTAGAAGCGTAATATTGCTTCGACGATTATCTCCCGTATTCGAGGACTCTACTCTTCCTGGGTTAATAAGTAAGTGCAGTAACGGCGATGACAAGGATGATGATTGTGCGGTGATGGTGCGGGTGACCGGCACTGTGCAGGCCCTGTCGCTGCCCCACCGCCGTCTCGTCTGCTACTGCCGTCTCTTCGAGGTTCCCGACCCAACCAAGCCGCAGAAGCTGGGGCTCCACCAGAGGGAGATCTTCCTCTTCAACGACCTCCTCGTGGTGCGCACGCGCGTGTGTGCGTCTGTCTGCGTGTGTGTGTGTGGGGAGCGGTAGTGTAGCAGTTAGCGCGCTGTGCTTCGAACCTGGCGACCTGGGTTCGATTCGCGCTCACGGCGAACACCCAGTGACGATTATCTGAACCGGTCCTGGGCCTCCCCTAGGTCGACTAAGCCTCAAATGAGTACCTGATGTGGTGTGTGTAAAATATCGCCACCTACCCCCTCGTGTTCGCAGCTGCAGGTGGTTTGATGGGGGGGGGGGGGGCGGAGGAGGGGGTCATCTCACACAGATCGTGCCGCCTTGTAAATCAGCATTTTCACGTCAGCCATCCGAGCTTAGCTCTCAGGAATAACATTAAAAACTCAATGGATGATCGATGCATGCCGTACCGAGGGCGAAAGAGCGCATTCTGGTGCTGAGGCCTATGGAAGTCATTTCAGAAGCAGCTCCCGCGAGGCTCTGCTGACCTGCGGGAGGTATGTCGGCGCATGTATCATCGGCTCGGGACTCGACTCTGCGAGTAGCAAAATTCATATATAGTTAGCGACAGTTCCATCTGTACAGGGATCGAGTATCATCCCTCCCCCCCACCCCACACGTGGTTTTCTCCGGGTACTCGTGAATGGCATTGGCCAAATCTACAAATATAGGATCACAGAGCTTGGGAAATTATTGGCGTCGGTTCTGGCTGCCCTCCCACTCGTGTGTGAATTCCCGCTCCTCCGAATAATTCCGTCTCACTCTGCGTCTTTGTCTGAGAGTGAGCGACAGCTCTGCACGTTCACCTATATTTAAAAAAATCGCGATTGTCTTGATCGATTGAAGCCGAACCCGAGTGCAATCATACAAAGGCGGTCTCAGTGACGCCTCGGTTTAGTTTCTTCCCGTGGGATTTCTCCTGCAGGTGACCAAGATTTTCCAGCGCAAGAAGAACGCGGTGATGTACAGCTTCCGCCAGTCCTTCTCGCTCTACGGGATGCAGGTCCACCTCTTCGAGAACCAGTGTGAGTGTGCGAGTGAGCGTGAGCAGGCCCCCCGCGTGAATGATTGACGCCCTGGCATATTCCACCACTTCGTGTTACATCTCCATCTATATTTATTGATTTAAACAGACATCAGTCCCACGACCTTCTGGGGGTGCATAACTTTAAGGGTACAGTAGAACCCCTCTTAACGACCACCCCTGTGACCGACTAATCGCTTAACGACGGACCTCCATAGAGCCCAATGTGTAGTGTATAGTGTAGTGTATAGTAGTGTAGTATGTAGTGTAGTGTATAGTAGTGTAGTGTATAGTAGTGTAGTGTATAGTGTAGTGTATAGTGTAGTGTATAGTAGTGCATAGTGTAGTGTATAGTTGTGTAGTATATAGTAGTGTAGAGTAGTGTAGTGTATAGTAGTGTATAGTAGTGTATAGTTTAGTGTATAGTAGTGCAGTGTATAGGAGGGTATAGTGTATAGTAGTGGAGTGTATAGTGTATAGTAGTGTATAGTAGTGTAGTGTATAGTAGTGTAGTATATGGTAGTGTAGTGTGTAGTAGTGTATAGTAGTGTAGTTTATAGTAGTGTAGTATATAGTAGTGCATAGTGTAGTGTATAGTGGGATAGTGTATAGTAGTGTATAGTGTAGTGTATAGTAGTGTAGTGTATAGTAGTGTATAGTAGTGCATAGTGTAGTGTATAGTGTAGTGTATAGTAGTGCATAGTGTAGTGTATAGTAGTGTAGTGCCTCCAAAGAGCCCAATGTGTTCGCTTACCGAACATTCCCCTGTTAAAAATGATCTGTTGTAGGTACAGTAAATATAAATTAATGGATTGATTAACCATGTTTTATCGTAATAGTGTGGATTTATAATGGTGTTAGTATTTTATGTATTAATATTCATTGTTTAAAATATTATAAAGTACGTTTTTTGTGTAACATTCCATGCTGTCGGAATGAATTAAGCTTTTAACAGGTATTCCCTATACTCGTTTAACGAACAATCACTTAACGACCTGTTTCACGGAACCAATAACTGTCGTTAAGAGGGCTTCTACTGTGTTGATAGTTCAACCTCTGTGTCATCCCCTGGGCACGCACCACCACTGGCTGAGCTTGCGTCCTGGTTGCAAATACAGAATCGTTGTCACTTTTCTGTATCGTACGGCCGATGGAGATGGAAAGTGACAGCTCTGGCATTGAGGTGGTTGAGCCAGGTAATTACGTCATGAAGAGTGGCGCAATTGCATCGCTCTGATGATTCCTCCTTCGTATTTGTGAATAGGCATTGTACTCTGCCAGAGAATTTTTTTTTGTTTATTTTTTTTTTTGCAACCAAGTTATCGCCACGGTTATTGTACGGGCGCGGTTTTTCACGGAACGACCGACCGCTTAGATTTTCTCAACCCTGTACTTTTACCGACCGACGCGTGCCGATATATCAAACGTGTGCCCTCTCGCGGGGTCGTCTCTTGCCGCCCAGTCTACCCCCACGGCATCAAGATCATGTCGGCGGTGCCGGGCGCCGAGACCAAGGTGCTGGCGCTGTTCAACGCCCCGAACCCGCAGGACCGCAAGAAGTTCGTGGACGACCTGAAGGAGTCGATCGCCGAGGTCCAGGAGATGGAGAAGCACCGCATCGAGAGTAAGTTGTCTGCGACGGGGGGACGCCCGTACACGCGTGCCCCCCTTGCACCCCCCCACCCACCCCCGGGGCCTTAGAGAGAGAGAGAGAACTCCCTGGGGGGTAGCGCAGATGTCGCACCGGCAGCTGTCTAGAATGGCTAAACACAAAAAAACTTCAAACTAAACTATTAAACTATTTTATTTTATATTCCCAGGTAAGGCCCACTGGTGCTATAAAGCTCTTTTTCAGAAGCGACCTGGCCACGCATGATAGCTCAACGAAGCGGCTTACCACGTGGAAATTTATAGCAGCCAAATACTCTCAATGTGGAGGGGAAAACAGGAGGACCCGGAGAAAAATCCACGCCACCACGGGGAGAGAGACGCCGCAAACTCCAAATATACAGGGACAAGGGTCGGGAACGAACCCACGATTGCCTACATACCAGGTGAGGGAGTCAAAATCTTTCCACTGTGGCGTATCGAACGCACGTTGGTTCTAAATGTTGGAGGGGGAAAAACGGAGGACGCGGAGAAAAATCCATCGCTTCCTTCTGCAAGATGCCCTAGTTGACACCAGACCAACAAAAGCTCTTGCAGAGTCTCATGAAGTGGCTCTCGGTCATACCTTGTTCAAGCTCATCCCCTTACTCTAGGTCAACCCCTTTAGGTCAAATATTCATCACCGATGTCGGCAGTGAGCGGGAATCGAACCCAGTTTACCAGGTTCGTAGCCCAGCGTGCCAAACTATTCCCCCGTGGCTCCCCACACACGCGCACACACACGCACACAAACGCACGCATGCACGAGTCTGTAAATCCAATTTTCTCAATTAGAAAAGTGCAACTAATAGTGAATTAGGGGAACCATCCATTAGCAGGCTTGGCATGCGACAGTGGCTGATCAATGCACCAACCGGCCTAAGCAGTCCTCCGCAGCTCCGTCTTTAAGGTCCCATCACGATTCATAAATGATTACCGCGCGTGCGTGCCAATAGATTTACCAACGACGGGAAGATGCGTGCGTTGCCTGTACAGAGGCTCCCGCCCGGCCTTGCACAGACCACCAGCACGGAAAAACTGCACGTGTGATCCACGTTCAGAAATCAGGAGTCACCTGGGCTGGGTGGTCCAGATGTCTTGTGACCCCCATTTCATTCTTTAAAACTCGTTATATTTCGAAAGTAAGGTTTATGTTTGAAACAGAAATGAATATGCAAAGGAAAACAAATGTTTGGGGTCAATTAATTAGGGCGGGGGGGGGGGGGGTCACAAGACATCTGGACCACCCTGTACAGTACAGTCATCATTGTTCACTGACAAGTGTGCGTATGTTATCGGAACGGAATCGGAACAGCGCTAAAGTAAAATAGCTTTACCGGTACGTCTTGGGCTACTGAAGTCATACCGAGGCTCCCGCAAAGCCACGAGGCCAGCGATCGCAGAGTGAGGTCGTGTCGCTAGCGGTTCTTCGCGGCGAATGCAGATGTCTTTAAGAGGCGCTCGCTAAATGGCGACTGTCAACGACGCTTCGTCAGACGGATGTTTTCCAAAAGCGACTCGCAGAAATATTTCACCCAGAGGAAACCACGCTAAGGCGGCTCGCGTGTGGATGTCACGGTGTTACTCATGCGTTTTCGTTTTTGTGTGCGCGTGCTGTGGAACAATTAGAAGCGTGTGTCATGCATGTCTCGTGTGTACCACGTGTGCGTGCGCGTGTTTTATGCACATATTGTGGACGTATGATACGCATGTATCATATACATGTCGTGTGTGCATCGTGTTGCGTGTGTGGGTTATATGCATGGATTGTCCGTACACACCACGCGCGTGCATTGTCGTAAATCGCGTGCGTACATCACACGCGTGAATCATCCTCGTGTATTGCGCATATACATCACACGCGCGCGCTAACCTCGTGTCTTGTGTGCGCATGTGTCGTGCGGCCTCATTACCACCCTCCCACCACCACCACCGCCGCCACAGCCGAGCTGGAGAAGCAGAAGGGCGTCGTGCGTGGGGGCGGCCAGGGCCAGGGCCGCTCGGGCAGCAAGAAGGAGAGCGGCGCTCGGTGCCGGGCCCGCGGCGCCAGCAACAACGGCGCGCTGGGGGGGCGGGCGAGCATGGACGACGGCTACGGCTACGCGGCCGGCGAGGGCCTCAAGCGCAGCACGCTCAGCAGCTCGCTGAGGGACCTCTCCGACGTGGGTACGTACCCTCGCCCGCCCGCACGTACCGCGGACTCGCGGGCTCACGTAAGGCGACATATCGCAGAGTAGCAGGGTCACCTGGGGACGTACCGCAGACTCGCAGGCTCACCTGGAGAAGTACCGAGGACTAATAGGCTCACCTGGGGACATACCGCAGGCTCGCACGGTCACCTGGAGAAGTAACGCGGACTAGTAGGCTCATCTGGGGACGTACCGTGGACTCGCAGGGTCACCTGGGGACGTACCGCAGACTCGCACGGTCACCTGGAGAAGTATCACAGACTCGCAGGTTACCTGGAGAAGTGTGACAGACTAGTAGGCTAACCTAGGAACGTACAGCAGACTCTTACGGTCACCTGGAGAAGTATCGCAGACTCGCAGGGTCACCTGGGGGACGTACCATGGACTCCCAGGGTCACGTGGGGACGTACCGTGGACTCGCAGGCTCACAGAGATCACGCAGGAAAGTTTCAAAACCAGCCTCGAGAAGTAGCCGCAATGTGGCTCCGACACACCTCCCAGAATTGTAACGAGGTAAATGACCAAAGTGTTGCACACGGCGAAGTGATGCAGCATCCTTCGTGCACACCTGGAATATTGTAGCGAGACAATTCACCAAGTGTTACACGCGTCGAACTGATCCTGCAACGCGTTCCTCAAATAATGCTGCGTGTGTGTGTGGCCTTAAATGACAAAAAAACAAAATAATCAGCGACGTTTCGGGCAATGGCCCTTCTCCGCAGCTCGTGTCCCCACTTGCCAACGTCACGTCGCCAAACAAATTCGATGCAGCAGCCCCCCTAATTGGTAATCGTGCGACGACGATGACGCCGTCGTACGATCGCAGCGGCCTGCCGAGGCAGGCTCGGCGAGCCGCGTCGCGTGAAGCGGCGAGTGCGCCCACGTGCGAGGTGAGGCAGGCCCGCTTGCAGGGCAATGGGACGGGTACCTGTGGGATAAGGGAGTCAGCGCAGCTAGCAGGATTGCCACCGGATCTACGCAGCTGAGTATTCTGCTCTCGAAAACTCGGCGAGTCTCTCCTTCGTGAATAGCCGGTGTCTCCCGCTGAATTATTGCCGCGGTTGTCAGGGCCTTTGATTTCCGTGTCGATTATTATTAAACGCTTATTGATCAGTGTCTGAAGCAATCGTGCTCAGTTCAATGTTTTTTTGAGCGGTCGATTAAATTGTTACTCTTTAAATGCGCCGCGTGTTCAGTGCAGCCTTGAGCCGGGTCCACCGCCTGGGCCATCAGTTGCGCACGTGGTTGCTTGCAACTGAATCGCTCGTGCCTCCGCAACTGGTTGCGAACGGCAGAGAGACCGACTCCGCTCTCGTGGCATCGGTCTGCTCGGCAGTTTGTGGCGATGTCCTCCTTCGCCGCGTGACAAAAATTTGCAAAGCTGCGATTGGTTGTTGCAATCCTGGTGTGAGTGGTGGAGCTAACCAGAAGTAGCAAAAAAACACTTCCTCGATGCGCAACTCTGCGCTAAGACACGGACAAAGCGGTTGTGGGGGCGATGATTGAGTTGCTTTGGGTTGGTCACAAGAAAATAACAAATGTGGCCACGAAACTTATTCGGCTCGGCCCTTGACTCGGCATGATTGAATTAAATCCCTCGACTGGGATTACACTCAGGGCAGAAACCATCGCCCATGTACTGACAAGCCAGTGGCCGTTTGCAGGGCCAGGTGCGAGTTACCCTGTGCCGCACAGGGACAGCTGCCACGGGGGGGGGGGCGGGTTCTCTTATTTTAACGAAGAGGTGTGACGATTCGATGGTGCTCCAAGAAACCCCCGGCGTATTAGGAGGGGCGACTCTGTCAAACGCAAAATCTGCAGGAAGGCCGATTTTTTGTTATTGTACCTCTGCAAAATATATGTATGTCTATCATCGTGTTGAAATTTATAGTAGCAGCAAAATACTCTTAAATTCACGTTGATTCTAAAGTGGAGGAAAAAACCAGAGGGCCCGGAGAAATCTCCACGCGATCACGGGGAGAGAGACACGCAAACTCCAAGTATACAGGTGTCAGGGTTGGGATCGAACCCATGACCTTCCGCATACCAGGCGAGGGAGATAACATCCAGCCTCCGCGCCATCCCCCTCTGTATCTGACTAAGAGCGACGGCGAGTAACAGCGTAAAGTTATTTTCAGCAACATTAATTCGGAAAGCATGTTGACATTGCGTCGAGTAAATCGACAAAACAACTCTTTGGGAATACTGTGGCTGTGACCGTGGCGGCTTATCGTAGGCGTGGGGTTCCATATCAGCAGTCGGAAAAGCAATTCCAAGTGGCCTTGTCAGCACTGAACGTCGTCGGCACGTCCGTGAAATTGCGTGTGAAATTATTCACTTCTGCCGCATTTAATGCAATCCCCGTCGCTGTCAAAACCTCTTTGCAGCTCCTGGATGTATAACGTGCTAATCTTACCGCAGGCGATATTTACATTAAACAAGAGCAGAGTCCCTTGCGTACTAATTCTGCACACACGCCCGTACTTAAGAAAGGGCACTTAAATTAATGTATTGTAATGTCTTATCGCTGTGATTAGATTAAAGGTGCATCATTCCCCCAAGTTAACATCTCATCACGTGGTTACATTTACATTTTTTATGCATTTTTGGGGTAAAAACAAACTTGCCTCTAAATTGAATCCTCTCGGTATCACGAGGTGGACAGTAATGAGCAAGGGGCCTTCAGTACGAATGGCCAGCGATTGGCTCGGGGTGTAATGACTGCTGCGGATCTGCGCACTCTGCAGTGTCTCTCTCCCCTTGGTGGCGTGGATTTTTTTCTGGGTCCTTCGGTTTTTTCCTCCACGTTAGAAACACGCGTTGAGAGTATTTGGCTGGTAGACAAGATAAGACGACACTTCGTTGAGCCATCACTTGTGGCCGGGTCGCTTATGACAAAGAGCTATACAGTGCTCAGTGGGCCTTACCTGGTAAAATAAACACATTGCTGCGGAGGGAGCTGGTAGGAACGTTGGGTTGCTCGGTCAATGGCCAGGGTCAACGGCGGCGTGGTGTATTACGCAAATATGCCCGACTGTGAGGGCGGGCACAAGCCGGCGTGAGTTGGTTAAACGTTGAGTTTTATAAGGGCACCACGGAGTGACCAGCCCCTCCCCACCCAGCCCCACCCTCCCCACCCAGCCCCTCCCCACCCTCCCCACCCAGCCCCTCCCCACCCTCTCCACCCAGCTCCACCCTCCCCTCCACACCCAGCCCCTCCCTGCACGACGGACGGACGGACACAATAATCCCCTGTGGGCTAGTGGAACCAGTGGGTTCCTACCAGTATAATAGTTTATAAGTACATTCGCACATTGCCGTAGCATTGGCTAAGGCCGCGGGCCAAGTGCTTTCAGGTGCGCTTCTGTGGCCGTCTGGAAAGCTCTTCCTTCCAAAATTAGGAAGCCACTGGAGCTATGCACTTCTACATCTAGATTGAAAACGAATTTCTTGAGAATCGATTTTTGTGTTTAGTTTGTTGTCCTACCCCCACCCGCACCTCCGATTAGCACGGTTGGCTACGTACGGTGCGAAAGAAGTCCCAACATACACACGTACAAGTGAGACTCATCGCGCCCTCTTGAGTTCTCGCTCGGTTATAGAAAAAATAAATTCGGCCTCTGTGGAGCTTCCTCATCGTTGCAAACGCAGAACCCCCCCCCCTACCCTTCGCTCTGCCGACAAGCGCCGTCAGCAACGCGCCAGCAACCGACAGACCACGCTGCTCCCCCGCTTTGAACGTGCCGTGCGTTTTACCCCCACGGTGCACGTGGGGCTATCGCGGGATGTGGCGAGGGCAACAGGTAACAAGCAGTGTTTCATTTTCCGTGACATCTCCCGAAAAAACCAGACGCCCAACCAACTTGTCAGCCGATCGAGAAAAATAACAAAAAAAAGCGCGTGGCAGTCCACGTGAAGGCCGCCGGAGTTTCCACTGATGTCGTCAAAATGATCTCCGAGCAAGCGAGTGGATTGTCGGTTCCATCGGCGGTGTCGCCGTTGGGTGGGCGTCCGGCCTCCGAGCGGTGCAGACCCCCGGCTCGTGCTCGTTTAATTCCGCCCCGTAATATTCCCGATTTAGAAAACGCGAAGCGCGCGCGGGTCAGGGGTCGGTGATGACTCTTTTCAAATAAGGGTTCGATTGAGATTTCAGGAGAAAAATCCAGCGATCCATTCGGGAAAGCCATTAAAGTTAATAAATAGATAGGAGTCGCTGAGCAATCCAATTTAGTGAGCGGGTCCCAGGATTAATTTATATTTTAATTTGGCTTATGCCGCCGCCGCTGTGGCCCTTAAACCCCATGCCAACCGGGTCTCTGACCCCCTCCAGACCTTCCCGTGTTCAACGTTTTTAATTTACGAGAGCTGGGACGGTGGGGCGTGGAAAAACGTCACGCCGTATTGTTGGAAGGCCAAGAACTTCGAGGCTAGAAACTGTGAAATTCATCGCGGGTCGTCTTTGCAGCTGTCCCTGTGAGTTCGTCAGCTAAATCGCACGGTGTCCATTCATTCACAAATATCCAAGAGAATTATTCACAATGAGAGGGTTTTTGAGTCGGTGCGACAGCCAAATTGACTGCTGTGTGCAAAGTGTGTGCATTACATGAAATTACTGAAAGTTTGCTCTTCCCATTAGCAGCCTGGTGAGACTGCCACATTTACATAATGCACCAGTGTTGAAAATGAATCAATTAGTAATAGCACAGATGTGTTAATTATTCAGCACATGACTCATGAATGAATTAATGGATAACCATGTCTGTTCGTTTATGGTCTTACATCTTTGCCGTTTAAGTATTTTACATTTAAACATTATTCATTAAGAGCAGAGCTGCACCGAGGAGCACCATTTAATATTTAGTCGACGCCGGATACATTATCGAGGTATTCTTCAATCTGGATTTGAAGCTGATCTGTATTTTTTTGCATTAAACTGCCGACTTTCTCTGTTCCTCTCCATCTCTCTGTCCCTCTCCTTGTTATTGTCTATTTCTCTCTGTCTCTTTGTCTTCCTATCCGTGTCTCTGTCTCAATCTCACGCTTTATATTCCTGCCAGCCTGTCTGTCTCCTCTGTAGTTTGCCACGTGTCTTCTCTGCCTGTCCACTCTGTCTCCCTCTCTCTCTCTCTGTCATCCTGTCTCTCTGTCCCTCTCCTTGTTACCTATCTCTCTCTGTCTCTTTGTCTTCACTTCTATGTCTGTATCAACCTCACCCTGTGTCCCTCGCTATATTCCTGTCTGCCTCCTTAGTTTGCCACGTGTCTTCTCCGCCTGTCCCTCTGTCTCCCTCTCACTTCATCTCTCTGCCTCTGTGCCTCTTCCCGTAGCTCTGAGCCATGACTTCTTCAGGTGGCAATAGCCAATCGTGTTGTCGGGCTCTTTGTCCCGGACTCAAATGTGAAAATGCCTACCAGAGTCTTTCCTTATACCCACCAGGTACTCCATCAAAGGCTCAGTCGATCCAGGAAAGGCACAGCACCGTTTAGATATTCATCACTGATGTTGGCCGTGAGTGGGAATTGAACTCGGGTCACCGGGTCCGTGATGCAATGCACTAACCACTGCACCACCGCTCCTCACTACAAAGACAAAGATAAAGATCCCCCGTATAGCCTTAACAGACTGTAGGGGCAAGTGCTGTTAGCGAGCACCTATGAAGGCCGCAACGGTACACGAGGGGGTGGGTGGCCAGCACCACGCCCGACCGCCTTTGTCTCCCTAGTGGTGATGTTTACACACCGCAGCAGGTACTCATTTGAGGCTGAGTCGACCTAGGAGAGGCCCAGGACCGGTTCAGATAATCGTCACTGGTGTTGGCCGTGAGCAGGAATTGAACTCGGGTCGCCAGGTTCATAGCGCAGCGCGCTAACCGCTACACTATCGCTCCCCACTACACAGACACACACACACGTGCACGTTGACACACACACACACTTGTCCGGGTACATACACACACGCACTATTGAAGGATTCCTCCTGTACGACCACGTCAGTTGTGTTCAGTGCTGTGGGTGCATCGCTTGAGTGTGTGTCGCCTACACGGAGCTGCAGAAGCTCTTTGCTTGTCGCGCTGCCATCCACTGAACAAAACAGGGAGGGAATTGCCCACAAAATACCGGACGCTTCGTGCCCAGGCAGCAAGCCTGCCTCGTACTCCTCCGCACCTTCTTTGCCACAACTCCCTTTGGTTTGTTTTTTGCTCAGGGGTTGCATTTTTTTCTCTGTGATGTTTCGGCTCCTTTGATTTCTTGCACTGTTATCACGGGGTCCATTGCTCGAAATGCAAGATCGTGGTTATGAATAATTCAACGGGTATTCTATTTTTTTTTATCGCTCTTTCTCAAAAAGCGGCTCCGAGCATCGATTTGTTTTTTATCGTGTAAAACAGTTGCCGCCGTCATTTGTCTCCGAAGTGGCGATGTCTACGCACCGCACCAGGTAAGTACTCATTTGAGGCCTAGTCGACCTAGGGGAGGCCCAGGACTGGTTCATATAAGCGTCACTGGTGTCGGCGGCCGTGAGCGGGATTCAGACTCTGGCCGCCGGGTTGTATGTATGTCTGTTGAACTTCTAGATTTGAAGTTTTCGTGACTGCAAGGATCTATACTCTTTGATTCTTTCAGTAAAGTCACGTAGGTGAAAATAAAAATAACTAAATTAAATCACGACGTTTCGGAGGCAACACAAGCTTCCGTCATCAGGTGGGACAACCACAGCAAAAACAAAAAAAATGACAGTAAAATTTTTTTTTGCTATGGTTGTCCCACCTGATGACGGAAGCTTGTGTTGAACTTCTTTGCCAATCGGAGGTGCGGAGGTTCAGAGCCCAGCGCGCTGACCACTACGCTGCCGCTGCTGCGCTACGAACGCGCTCACCGCGCACAGCATGAAACCTTCTGAAAGATGTTCCCTTCCTGAATAAGACGTCGCCGTGTCATCCAAAAGTGTTGAAGTTCCCAATCTCCCAGGATCCCGTTTCCTCTACGGCGTACGGTCTCGATTTGTGCGTGTTTATTTTTTGGTATCGGTGTATTGCCGCCTGGACGCTTGCGTCTCTGTGTCCCCTCGCGTGCGTGCGCGCTGTGTGCGTATGTACCGGGCCAGGCAAGCGTGGTCGCAGGGGGAGTGCCGGTTCCCTAGACAGCAACATCGAAGTAAGTAAGCGGCGGGATCGCTCGGCGACGTTTGGCCCTGCTTGGTGTGCCGCCTGCTGCTCGTGTTTGACTCGCGCGTGCACGCAGTCTCGGCCGTAAAGGGACGGGCTCCACCTTCCAGGGCGTCGGGCGAGAACAAATCTCGCGCTTAAAACCAGGACGGTCGCGCGATATAATTGAGTGACGTTTAATAAAGAAAAAAAGAAAAATTCAAAACGCACACCACATCAGTTAGTTTGCCCTTCAACCGCACCACCGATTAGGGCAGTTGGCTACGTACGGTGCGAACGAAGTTCAGCGTACGTGCGTGCATGCATGTAACTCGGCGCCCTTCACAATGGAATTGTCACGGAGCGCTTCACGAGTAAACTTAACGAATGCATCCGTAAAAATTTGAGTTACGCAAAAGGATAAAAGGTGTACGCAGTTCAAAATGTCGCAACTCCTTTCAACCTGCCATAATTTCTTCGTAATCTTAGTGTCACGATGTGAGGGGAGAGAATCACAGGCAAATAGACGCACAGTATTGTCTTCTACACCGTTTCAAGAAATACAATTCAAAATACAGAAAATATCTATCGGTCATCAATGATGGGTATGCACATAAGAACACTCAAACGTTATCAATTAAAGGGCTTTAAAAAAAATACCTCAGCATGCAGTAGCGGCATGCGTACAAGTTGAACATTTGATGTCTCGCGCCATATTTCTAACAACAACAACAACAAAATCCCCATCCATGTATCTGTGCTACTGAAAGCAGTTTCCTCTTCCGTACAACAACAATGCTCACGTCTCTTTCTTTAATTAAAGGTGCTCGAAGAATTCGATTTTGATGAACAGCGCCAGAGTCATGATCAGCCCCGCCGCCGAAATCCTTACAGCCGTGACTGTGTGGGCGCCTCGCGTGCGTGTGTGTGTGTCGTGTTTTATTTTACTTCTTGCCGTGGTGATGGTGTTGTGGCGTTGCTGTGGTCGTGATGGTTTGGTTATTTGCCATGGCTTGTGGACTGTGTGGCTTGTTGCTGCATGTCTGTGGCCCTCTGCATCGTAACACCGTGTGTCTTGGCTGCCTCCGCTCCCACCTGCCACAAGTGCCCACCTCTGCCCGGTTGCGTCGATCGGAGTGTCTCAGTTGTCGGGACGAAAAGATGATCCTCGTAGCCATCGTGATGTTTCGCGCCGATGGTCTTTTTGTACGTTTTATCCATTCGGTTTCTCGGTTACGTGAAGCAAATACTGCAACTTCATATTCTTGGTTCTTACGGTAAAGTCACTTAGAAGGGAAATAATAAAATAATACAAATTTTACAATTTTCTTGCTGTGGTTTTCACACCTGATGATGATTGATTGTGCAATCGAAACGTCGTGATATTTTTTATTGTTGTATTTTTATTAATGTATTATTTCCCTTCTACGTGACTTTACCGAAAGAACCAAGAATATGAATCCTTGCACTCACGAAAGCTTCAAATCTACCACACGAGTGCCGTCCGACCGCTGCTGGCTCACGTGGCGCGGCACGACCTCAGCAGTCGTGGCCGAGTCGTCGCTAGGAGCCAGTCTCTCAACGCAAAGTTGCTCTGCCGCCACGAGCGGAGAGTCCCGATTACGAATTCCTCCACTGCTCCTCCCCCAGTGGGAGTTTGTTTCAGCGCTGAAACCGGCCTGGGCAAAGTGTCCACGCTCGATCTGCCACGGCGAGCGGCGCAGATGTCGCTTCTTTTTCGCGAATCACGTCAAGTGGGTAAAGCTCTCGGCGCTGCCACCTGCCCGTATGCTCCGTCCTGTTTTCAGGCGGAGTGGATAATTTATGCCGGGGACTCCATTGTGTTGTTAATTTGCGTAGCCATGGGCAAGAGCTTGGGAGAAGTGTGTATCCCGTAATGTGCCGCTGGTCGGCCTCGCAAGGTCTAAACGGGGCCATGCCGCCCCTGATAATGAATTTCAGAATGAGTCACTCATGCGCTCGCACAACATTTTAAGTTGTGGGAGGGCTTGCAATGCCTCTTTTGTTCAAACGTCCCTGGACACTCCTTTGATATAAGTGAGGGCTTGTCAGTTCTAAATTAACATGAACTTTTTTTCTTGAGCACGAAAAATTCGTTTATTTTTGCTCTTAGGGAGAATGTTTAAATAGCGCCGCCTTGTATTTCATGAAACATAAAGGCAAGACAATGTTCACATAGACGTTCAATTTCTAAGTTGACTTTTCGATTTCTACAGCGATCGTAACTGATCGCAAAATTTAACAATGGCAGAACTCAATTGTGTCTGTGCACATATAAATAACAATATATTTCAGTTCATGGGTCGATTCACTTTTCAAAACCAGTCTGAGTTCTTATCTAAACATATTCACAAATACGAAAAGACAATCCACATATGATAATTATATACATGCACGTGTATATAATATAATGTGATCTATACACTGAGATAAACACAATACATATGCTAGGAGTGCGTGGAATATTCATATTTCCTCTGCATTTGGACAAATACCAGCCATATTTTTTGCATTTCGAGTCAGACAAATACTTAAAATGTAAGAAGTATATCTTTGTTATTGTTGATATTGCCATCCACTGAATGCGCATTATGTAGAATACCTTTTGAAAATTCCCATTCGTTTAAGAGCTCGTAGCCTGCTGATGATGCCCAGTGAAGAGGAAACTTGCAGTGGGCGGCCTCGTTTGAACAAACACTTCTGGGGAAGATTCACTGGGAAGGTGCTGGCGGATTGCGCATTATTTCCCATCGTGCAATTCAACGACACTTTTCACAAACTTTCAAACTTCCAGTGCATCGCGTTTGTGGTGGAAGCGTTTCACAAAATGTATAGATTGTGGTCAACATTCGGCCCTCTTTGCAAATCATTTTGACAAATCCTTTAAACCGACTTTGCACATGAAACGGACCGGATTGTCTAAACCATCACTCCGGCAAACCCAAGTCGGATGGGCAAACTGTGGTCAGGTGACCTCTACATTTCCGCAGTCCACGAGTCCGAACTCCCGGCCTGAGGCGAAGCTTCACCCTGGCAACTGCATTTGGAATAAATTCATTCAAGGGAGGGACAGCAGAGGCTTGCGAGAAAAGCATTTTTATTTCAATTTAATGACCAGCCGAGGCTGCACATCCGACTCATATCGCCGGCTGATTTACGCGCCACTTGCGTACAAACTTTATTGATTCATTCCCCCCCTCCCATGCCTCCTTGTTGAGAATGTAAATATGAGCGTACCATCGCGGCTCGCTGTGCAAACCCATAAACCGGTGGGAATTTCGGGGACGTTTTCTGGCAGTCTTTCAAAATGTAATAATTTTTTTTGTTTGGGATAAGAATGAGATCTGGGAGGGGGTGGGGGTGTTTTATTCTGCATGCGCCTTGTTTATCGATCGGTTAGCAATAACGTCACGTGCGACAAGCCGCCCGTTTTTGTGCCCCTAATTTGTGAGTGGCCCTAACACCTGTCCCACTCGACCCTGAGCTCGTTTGCACACTCCAGCGGTTCGATTCCCCACTGCGGCATCTGGCAATTCCGTTTCACTATTAAACACCTGACATTCCACACCAGCTCGGGTCACTGCGTTGACGTAACAGCCCAACTCCTAAAATGTTATGTTTAAATGTGAACAAAAAAATCCTGTTGTTTTTTTTCTTACTTATCATTCTGGTGTAATCTACAATGCATTCTAAATTTCCTGGCTATAACAACATTGAGGCAATTGAATAAGTGTTGCTTATTTGCAACAAAAAATCCCAAAATCAAGCTCCTAATTTTACAATGCTACCATTTTTAGTAAAACGATCATTAGGTGACATTTTACGCTTTCAATAAAGGCGGGATTATTTGAGAACAGTAATGAGATTTTTTTTTCTCGATAACGAGACGCAATTTGACAAACGCAGACCGCATCTCGCAAGCCGCTGTTTACAATTCGCCGAGACATCCCTCTCGTCGTGAGCGGAGGAGAGGGGAGCGCAACTCCATTTTGCAGACATGCCAGCACGGTCTGCTGAAGATGGTTTATGGAGCATGAGTTGTGGCTCGTGCTGCTGATACGTGCTTGCTACTGTCCTTGTGATGTATTTTTAATTCGCTGGCGCTCCCAGCCTCTCTCTGCTTGCTCTCTCTATTTGCCTGTTCACGTTCGTTTACTCATTCGCTCCGGCCTCATTGCCTCGTCTGGTTTTGGTGGTGGTTTGCTCCATTGTCTTGGACCTCCCGTTAACTGACCCCCCCATAACGGACCCCATAGTGAGCGCCTCACGCACCGCGTCTAACGGGCGTTACACGCATGCTGTAAAATTCAAGGCCTCGTTTTGAGCCGGGTCTAGCGGCAAACAGTTTCCGCAACCCGACGGCTGCACCCAGTGCACCACATCCAGTATGCCTCTCGCTGTGGGCTCTGACTACTACGTCACGTGCCGCTTACTCCGGTCTACCAACGACCCGGAAAATATCGAGTTAAGTGCCAAATAGATTGCTAAAACATAAGGATTGCATTGTCAGGGAATCTACAATGTACGTTGAACTTCTTTCGCACCGTACGTAGCCAACCGTGCTAATTGGAGGTGATTCACACTCTTCGTGTACCCTGCCTGCAGCCTGCCTGTTGTCCCAGCACAAACTCACCGTGTTGCCGTGGTGCGTTTTGGGTAAAAGCAAACATAAGCAGAGCTCCGTTCTGTGTCTCCACACGAACTAAAATGTGTGTTTGGTCCAGCGGCCTTCCGTTGGCTTTCCAGACGAAATTATCAAGCAGCATTTGCTTAAGGGAGCAAACTCTAGAACAGCGGTTTCGACTTTCTTGGCCTCATCAGCAGACTCAGGCTTGTTTAGTGCATGCTGCTGGATTACCAGATGTCATTGGCAAGAGCGTTCCATTTTACAAATACGGGACCCTATTCGATTCTAAAATGCCATATTACACACCAACTCGCTATGCGTTGCTGTGGAAAATTATAGGTAAAAGGAAATATAAACTGCTCTTCATTATTAATATAAACTGTTTTTTTTATATAAGGCAATAGGCCGATGGACTTAAACATAATTGCGTGATACGTGGAGACACACAGCGGAGTCTACTTGTGTTTGCTTTTATTCCCACCGTCATCTGCATGACAAGCCTCGGCTTCAAACCCTAAACACCTTGTCAACCGCACCGCCCCCTCCCCCCAACGTTGCGAGGAATCGGCTTTGCGACCAACCCGCTCGTCGCCCTTCTCCTCGCCGGCACCCGCTGCGCCCCGCACGACGGCTTGCGGCAGCGCGTTGCGGCGCTCCTGAGACGACATCTGTTGTGTCCCCCCTCGTCCCTCGTCCCTCGGCCCCCCACCCCTGACCCCTGAACCCCCCCCCCCCACACCTGTGGTCAGTTGCATAAAAATAATATCTGATGCGATGTAATTTTTTTTTCCGCCCGAGTTTACGATGTAAAAGAAGCGTGAAGCAAGGAGTAAATTTCGCTCGAGGAATTCGATGCAATTGGCTCATCGTTTTATTCCCAATCAGCATTCGCTGTCTGGTCGTGTGAGAATAACAATAACAATTTAGATTTTTAAAAAACTTATCCGCGTGTAAAAAAAAATCTAATTTCATTCATCATCAAGGTGTGGCCGCATGCTGTGCTAATTAAAAGCGGAAAGATTATTTCTCCTCTGGCTACCCTCTCGGCGAGTAACGCAGAACCCATTTAATGGGCATCGCTTTTTTTATTTTAAAGCCGCAGCTTTCGAAATCAAAACGCACGCGCGAGACCGCTGGGGCAAGGATCTGGTGCGATCTTCAACGAAAATCAACTTTTCCGTTGTGGTTCTTATCATCGTTGCCACGGCCGTGCGTTAACCCGATCGCTCGTAGAATCTCGAGCAGAATTACACAATGAGATACCTGCCTCAAATGTCGGCAGCTGTGCCCTGCTTTCTCAAACAGACCCTCCTCCTACCAACATGAGAATTCAGTTCTGGTCGCTCAGAGATGGCCAAAGAATCGCCATTATTTAAATAGGATCCACACCAAATTTCCAAACCCGTGTAAGACTCCTTGACTCATAACTTACGAGTCTTACTATCCCAACGTGTAAGGGGGCCTTATGCGGACGGGTGAAAGCCTTCAAATGCGCCCACAGAGTTGGCAGGCCCGGGGCTCCGTAGCGATGATGCTTCGGCGAGTCGCGAGGATTTGGACAGCGATGCCGAGGGCTGCGTCGGTGCCGTGACGGCTGTGCGTTGGTGTGCGTGCGCGCGCGTCTGTGCGTGCAACAGCAGGGCTCCATGCTGGGCAGTCCGCACATGGCTCGACGGGCCTACTCGGGCAGTGAAGGTGGCGGGCGGACTTCAATACGAGCTCAGCGGCCTTCCAGCCTGCAAATACAACCACTGCCGCAGCAGCAGATGCAGCCGCCGCAGCAGCAGCCGCAACAGCAGCAGCAGCAGCCGCAACAGCAGCAGCAGCCGCAACAGCAGCTGCAAGAGGTTCAGCAGCAGCAGCCACCGCCACTGCCGGTTGCCGTGCAGGTGGCACAAACATCGTCGAGCGGAACTACGACTCCCGTGCCAGGCTCCGCGTCGATCCTCGGCTCGCTGTTCAGCGGCAAGCGCGCCAAGACGCCCGTGCCGCAGGGCAATGTGCCGTCGTCATCGTCCTCTGCCAGGCACCACCATCACCACCACGGAGGAGGAGGACACCACCACCATCACCACCACCAGCAGGCGCAACAGCAGACGGTCCCAGCCTCGGTCTCGGCAGCGGTGACCACCGTGACGGTGGAGGTGACGCAGCAGCAACAGCAGCTGCAGCAGCAGCAGCAAATTCTGCAGCAGCAGCAGCAGCTGCAGCTGCACAAGTGCGACGTGGCGGTTGGTGCGGCCCAGGTGGCCGCGGGTCCCGGGGTGCTGGTGCCCATGGGCTCGGCTCCACCACCTCCGCCGCCACCGCCGCCTCCACCGCCGCTGCCGTTACCCCTGTCCCTGCCCGCTCCTCCTCCCACTCTTCCCTCGCAGCACCTGGTGCAGTACCACGGGCCGCCGCCTTCCCAAGCGCAGCTATCGACGTCGCCGCAGCCTGCGGTGCAGCAGCAGCAACAGCATCTGTGTCACCACCACCAGCACGCGCACGCGCACCACCACCGCCACCACCACCACCATCCGCCTCCGCCGCCACCTCCGCAACAGCAGCAGCACCACCACCACCACCACCCGCACCACCACGCCCACCACCACGCCCACCACCAGCAGCTGCAGCTGCAGCACGCGCTGCACCACCACCACGGACGGCACCACGCGATGCACGTGCACGCCGCCCACGCCGCTCACCCGGCGCTGCCGCAGCCGCAGCCGCCGCCGCTGCCCGTCGCGCCCAAACCAAAGGCCTCCTCTTCCAGCATCAGCACCACCGTGTAGGGGCCCCGCGCGTGGGCCCACGCCGCACGGCGCGGTCCGCCCGGAGCACCGGCGACGACTGGACGGAGCCCGTAGGGCCCTGTCCCCCATCCCTCCCCCACCAATCTCTCTCTTTAACCCTTTCCATCGCCTCAATGGCCTTCAAGCGATCGATGAGTGGTGGTAGTGGTGGTGCTGATGGTGGTTGGCAGAGGAAATTAGAGGTTTCGAGCGAGATGGTGATTAATGGGTTTATGTTGACAGCGGGTATTTTTTTTTGAGTGTGCGCGTGATGCCTGCTAAATGCTCTTCACCCGTTATGATTTTTTTGGGACCCGTTATATCATAGCGTACGCCACGGAATAATGAACTTTTCAAGCTCAGCACAGATGCCTGCAACAGCTTTTGCCGTTCTCAAACCTCGCAGGACTAAACAACAACAACAACAACAAAAAGACATCTGAAAAAAAACTATTTTAGTTTTAATGAATGGTAAAAAAAAACTGAACTAACGTACAATAATGGGAGATGCGTGGGTACACATCACAGGTACTTCTTCCCTGAATGTGTTCGTATGTTTCTGTTGCACTGTAACGCTTTTCGTTGCTCGCAGTAAATCTGCGTTCACTTTTTTTTTCTGTTGCACTATATTTGTTTCCGAAAGGGCCTGAAATTGATCTTGCAAACCCCTCCATCTCCGTGTAAGAAATTTTTAAACGATGTTAAACGTAGAGGACAAATTCACTCATCTGTGCGTAGCATACAAACGCTCAACAACATAACATGAACATATTCCGGTTTTAATTGAGCAAACGAGCCTGCGGACGGACGTGACGGAGACATTTAAGCCACGCGATATTTATTAAAAGCAAGTTGCTTTTTTGGTTTGTTGTAAAAATGGTACTACCGTTCGACGCGCGAGGTTTTTTTCTTTTGTTTGGGCCGAGAAGTGACGTCGGCAAAGAGCTAACTACAACGTCCTCTGAAAGCGAGGTTCAGCTTAGCGCCAGGGGATGGGGAAACCTGACGCTACAGATGCCGCGTGCGGCCCTCAAAGCGACCGCTTCGCGAGACGTTATTTATTAAGGGCCAGTCGTCTCGCGATTAACGCTGCTGCATTGGCGCCTCTTGGGATGTCGAGGTCTGTTTCTTGTCGTTGTTTTACCGAGCTCGAACAAAAACGTCTCTTCTCGTTACATTGGGTTGCCGACCTCCTGAGCGAGCGTGACCGTGAACATCCGCGTGCTGTGTACACGTCCGATGTGCACGCCAAGTGTAGGCGCACAACGGGCAACGCCGCGTGTGATTTCACCTCGTTTACGTACGTACGTTGAACTTCTTTCGCACCGCGCGTAGCTAACCGTGCTAATCGGAGGTGCGGGGTGAGGTGGACGCGAGCGGGGATTCGTTTCACGGGATGCCTCGTCGTGTCTGTCTTGATGCAAGGCCACGACGTCACGGCTACAGTTAAGTTTGACTTCATTTCCACCTCCGAGACGTTGGGACTGCCACGCGTCAAGCAGAGTGCGTGGGAGAATGCACCCCCCCCCCCCCCCACTAACACGAGCACCCCCCCCCCCCCCACCCCCTGACTCACTGCGTAAAGGATTTAAAAGAATGCCTTTGGGAAAAAAATTAAATGGAGAAATGCTGTGAAAAATATCTTCCATGTCCGTTCTTGGACACGCGGTGCTATGCACCGCTCTGTGAGATTTCCCAATGGATTCGTTTCATGGCGCGATACTGGTGGTACAATTGGAATTCATTTGGGGGAAAATGACCGACAAAGCAGCCTGCGATAGAAGGCGACCGACCTTAAATGTAAACTTCTAAACCTAAGTTTAAAGGTTCTTAAACAAATGAACAAACGTATTTAATTAATTTGAATCAATACATCAATAAGCGTTGGTCTGCTCGCCAAACATTTCTCGTTTCTGTACGTGGTGCAAACTCCACATTTCCTTGACGAGGACCAGTTTATCCATAGGATAAGGACCCTTGGCTTCCACACCCAGTGGTGCTCATTTGATGTCAATCCACCACTGAATGAAGGACACCCCCAACTCCGTGTTGATCATGGAGTTAAATTTCGATTTAAAGCTTTCGTGACTGCAGGGATTCATCTTCTTGGTTCTTTCGGTAAAGTCACGTAGAATGGAAATAATAAAATAATAATAAAAATAAAACATAATAAAATAATTCTCACGACGTTTCGGCCACAACGCAAGCAGCCGTCCTCAGGTGAAGAACAGGTCTGTGTGGCCGAAACGTCGTGAGAATTATTTTATTATGTTTAATTTTTATTATTTTATTATTTCCATTCTACGTGACTTTACCGAAAGAACCGAGAAGATCATGGAGTTGTCTGACCATACTTCACCACGCTGGTCAGTGCGGCTTGGTGAAGGAAAAGGCCCCAGTGCCGGTTCTGAACATCGTTCGCTATTGTTGGCAGCCGTGGAAGGGAATTCGAACTCGGGTCGCCGGGTTCATGGTGCGATGCGCAAACCACTGCGCCCCACCTCGCCACCCGCGAGTGGCAGTGGTGATCTCTTCAATGCCCCTTTTGCCATAACACCACATTTAGATGCCATCATATTGCGTTGCAATAGCTCAGGCTTTACTTTGTCAAAGACCTAAACAAGCGATTGTTTTTTTTTTGGTGGGGATTTCTCGATAGTGATTTTAAGCAAACGATTTTTTTTGCGAAATAAAATAACATGCAGTCCATCTGATAACGTGAGTACTTACGGCGCCATAGCATTGCCACGCCCGCGCGCACGCCAGCCACTGTTATGTTAAGGGATGGTTTGACTGAATTTGGGATCGCAGACTGCAGTGTGAGACATGGGTTGCAGCGTCGAGCGTGATGAGGATAGGGCATCAACCGCACGCTCAGCTGAGCCACCCACGTGGTTCATGAAGACGCCCGTCATTTGAAAGTCACGATGAGCCCCGTGCTCTTGAATGTAAACATAATCATCCACCAAGGGTGGAGCGGTCGCTCCCCCCCCCCTTTTTTTGTTGCTGATTAGTGGCCGTGGGGTCTGCCCCCTCTGGAGGGATTTCTCCCACGAGCAGTCTCGTTAATTTCCCTGGGGCGCCATCGATTGGTCCAAGTTGCCGGCAAAGTTCTGTTTAATCTTTGAGCAGCGAGGCATCTCTTCCCCCCCTCCCGCACGCAATCGCTCCGCACCCGCAAAAACCGCCGACTCTCCGCCCCCCCCACCCCGCCCGCCCGCACCATCCCATCGTTTAGTGCGGCTGCGGCGGAGATCGATAGGAAATTAAGCTGTCGCTACACATTTCCCTGCTTTAGAATGCAGCCCAAAGCAAGCCCGAGGGTAATGCGCCAGGACTCGTTCCCACCCCCCGACGAAACTAATGGACATATGTAAAAAAAAAGAGCTTCATAGCTTATCGGATTTCTCCAGGACAAGTAAATATTCTGAGACGTGGCCACGTTGGGCGTCGCTTCGCTGCGGCAGCACGTGTCGCCGTGCGGGGGCTCGCAACCCGGGCAAAGTGTGAGGAATGGCTCGAATTCAGATATCCGTGATGAAGTGCTTCATAGATCATCGGATTTTTTTTCCTCCAGGATTAACAAAGGTTCTGCATCGTAACGATTTAAGGAAGCCACGGGGCAGAGCGACATTGTGGACTCGGAGAGGAAGGATGCTGAAAAGTTGCTCCATTTTTTATCTTTAAATTAAAAAGAATTTGATCATCAATTGTTTCCATTTTTTTTATAAAGACTTAGCTCGCAGTGTAGGATATCTGTGGGTGTATCCGTTATACATGAGCGTCCACCGCAAAGGCAGATAACTACATCAGGCAACCTTAACTCACTGGTGGATTGAACATCACCTCTGAAGGTCCCACGTTGGGTTTATTCGATTTCACATTTGCCATCTCAAATACCGTGACTTAAGGACAACGGTTCTTTTGCAGATAACAGCGCCCCTAGTATAGTACCAGCGTCGATTGTTATCTTAATTGGAATTGAAATAAATAACTAAACGACCGGTCAGTGAATAGTTTTCGGGGTGAAGTGATTGAGAAAATCAGTAAGTCACCCTGCCTGTTGGTCTTCTTGTTTCGTTCCAAATTTGAGTAGCCATCGCACAGTCAATCGCGGGAGCCCTCTAGAGCCGAGCCAAATGCTGTACCATCGGCGAAGAGTTTTGGTGGAAGGAAGCGCATGCAGAATTATGTTCTGCCAGGCTGGCCGTGGGGGCTGGGATCCATCACCGGACAGATTTGACCTTGACCTTGACCAAGCCGCATGATGAAGGGAGGGAGGGGCAGGTTTCCTTTGCTCGCCGGCTCTGGTGGTTAAACGCGCCCCAAAACCCTGGCCAATTAAAGTGACTGCGGACTAATTGGAGTGCCCACTTTGAACAACAACGCAATGACAAAAAGGCACGCCTTTAAAAAAAAAATAACTGCACGGGAATTGACGGTGACGTTAATTAAACGTTTGAACGCATTTCGAGAAAGACCACTCACTTGCCTCCAGCAATCAGCCACGCGCAGTGCTATTAATCGTTTCCAGAGGCCGCTTGACACGGTGAGTATATAAAGTTTGGACGTGACTCGCGGGTTGTCTATATACAGTCCATGTATAATAAGGCATATGCACACATAATGTACAATTTATGGATATATACCATGCTTTATTTGCTATATATTACTGTACGGTGCTTTTCCATAAGCCGGCCCTATTATTTGTGATTATCTGTCAAAGAGGCTTACGAATGGACACGTTGGTTGGCACTTTTCAGGAGGTTACAAAACGACCGATCAAGACGAGCCGACGACGCGTACAGTCATTGGGTTTGTTTTTCAATAATGCAGGTTTTTGTTGGGTTAGATCGCGTAGATTAAAAAAATAAAAATGTGTCGTTAAAACCGCCACCACCCGACAAAGCCAATTAGTAAGGTTTGTAGCGTAAACAAAACGTGCCAATTCGTTACTAGTACAGCACACCGGTGTGTTTGAGAGTAAACACACACCATTTACGCGATCTAACCCACCAAAAAAAAACTCTCATTATGGACTATTTTTGTCGCGAAAGCCCACGTTTGTGATCAACTGCTTTTCGTTTGTTGCACCGACGCGAACAAATCGCCGCCAACTGCATGACAACGGAAATCGACCTGGCGATGCTTTGCGGCGTCGAAGCTGATTGCCGGCGGGCGGAGGAGAGGCTTAGGAGAGGTTTAGTTGAATAGTACGGAGGGAGTGGCGGATGAGTGCTCGGCATCGCCGCTCTCTCTGTGTGTTCACCTGTAAGGGCGGTGAAACGCAGCCCAGCGGTAGTTCGTTCGCGATGGCGAAATGGCAACTACCTCGCCTGGTATACAAGAAGGGTCGTGGGTTCGATCCCGATCCCGACCCCTGACGCCTGCTGCTGTATATTTCGAGTTTGCATGACTCTCTCTCTCTCTCCTCCCCGTGGTCGCGTATGATTTTTCTCCGGGTCCTACGGGGTTTCCTTCCACGTTTGGAAACGTGCAATTTAGAGTGGTCTGGCTGCTATAAATGTCCACGTGATAAGCCACTTCGTTGAGCTATCATTTGTGGCCCCAGTCGCTTCTGGAGAAGAGCTGTATAGCTCAGTGAGCCTTACCGAGTAAAATAAATTAAAGTATCTACATCATGGGACCTCCTTTTGTTGCCAGAAAAAAAGGGGAAAACCTATTTTCATAAATTCAAGCAGTCGGAATAGTATAGTTGAATAGTTTAATACTGCGGGTTTATGAGACTTCTAAACTCGACGACTTCCTAACTGCCCACTTCACGGCGCCCATTAACAATCCCGTGGCGCCATTCGTAAGAGTTTGGCCACTGTGTGCCGGCGACGTGGTCTAAAATTCGAAAATTGCACCGCAAATTTCTCAAAAATTATCGCCAACGGGGAAAACTTTATCACTCGGTGAGGTTTTCTTGGGTCGGCAAGCATAGTCATAACAATTATAACAAATATGATAATCATACAGAACCTCCTTGTGACCCGTCTGCTGAAATTGGCCAGGGTACTTTTATTTCATTGTCCAAGTGCCTCCGTGAATTGTAAGCGGGGGTCGGGGGGGGGGGAAAGTCTGCGGATTTGTGCGCGATGAGCATGCGGCATATATACATGCGTGCCCCATGGGTGCAATATATATATGCGGTTTAGGCATGTTGGTTCTTATTGACCTCGTCCAAAGTCATTCTGGTGCCTCATCGCCGACTCTGCGTTACGATGGACCCCGTACACGCTGTCACGTCTCTCTGCTGCCAGAATTACATTGGGAAGGCTGCCCGTGGAGGGAGAGAGAGGCTCTACGCCCAAGTCGCTGCCCTCTTCAAATACAATCGCGGGACAATGAGCACGGCTTAGTTTCTCACTTTATATTTTGTTGAAAAAGCTGCCGCCAAGGCTGGCTTTGAGTGGCGATTATCAGCGCAAGCGAGAGAGGCACGAGCTATGGCTGATATTATTGTGCACCGTATATTCCCGTAATCCCGAGAACAACACAAGTGTCACGAGGACACAACACAGCGAGATGGATGTGGAGTGCCAGCATTATTACACCCACCCCCACCCACCCCCATGGAACAGCATTTCCGGGACTGACCCAGGTTGATGAAAGAAGGGACGTGACCGCGTGAATTGGCGACAGACAAAGCCTTGAGTGACGTTTGTATACTGGAGGGACGCCGTCGTTGCTGCTGAGTAGGGCAGGCGAACGATCAGCGTCGTTTACATCTTTAACCCTCGCCTTTAAGAGGATGTTGTCACTTGCGGGCAGCTCACAAGCTGGACGTATTTTACGACTACCTTTTACAAAAGAGCTTCATAGCCCATCGGATTCCCACAGTATGAATACATACTTTGAATCTGATTGAACGAACGAAATTCCTAACCGCTGAACAGAATTAGTGATACAGTACTATGACCCGCGGTTGTCTGTCATGCATTCTGCGCCAACTCTCACGCTCCATGAATATGGAGAACTATTGTACCGCATTTGTTGTTATTTATAATTTGGCTCCCAATAATTTTAGAGGAGTTGAGCCTTCAGCAGGGGTGGGGGTACCCCCCCCCCCCTATGCTACGGAGCTGCAGGTGGGTCTCACCAGTGCATTGTGCTCGTATGGTTATGGATGTCTGTGTCCAACATCAGGACTATTTAACTATTTTTTCGCTAGACATCGAACAAAAGCGGCCACTGCATCGCGCCCTTTCAGGTGCGCTTCTGCGGCCGTCTGGAACGCTCTCCCTTCCGTTATTCGGAAGCCACCTGGGGCCATGCACTTTTAAATCATCCAGATTGAAAACTCATCTCTTTCGAACTGATTTTTTTGTGTTTAGTTTGTTCGTCCTTCCCCCGCACCTCCGATGAGCACGGTTGGCTACGTACGGTGTGAAATAAGTTCACCATACCGTATACAGGTACATACGACTCGGTTTTTTTTAATCCAATACAGGAGATTCGAGATTTTTCTATCAATTGTCGCCCCCTGCTGACCAGCGCGTGCATTCAACGTGCGCGCGACACGTGGCACGGAATCCGTGTTACAGGACCATGAATCTGGTGATGGTGTGCACCGCTGTCAAATTATTATCAGTGATGCACAAGAAAGGTAGCACGTTCGTCAATGTAAAATATAAATATAATGAGAGAAGTTTTGGGGCAATGGCCCTCCTTCATAGCACACACACAAAAAAAAAACAATTTGATGATTGATTGGTTGGAAAAAAAGTGACTTTGCGAAGATTATATGTATCTTGTTCGGTCACTTTATTTCGGGCAAGGCTCTTTGGGGCGTCATGTTAGTGAGGTGTTAAATACCTCGCCTGGTATACATGAGGTCGTGGGTCCATTCCCAACCCCTGACGCTTGTATATTTGGAGTTTGAATGTTCTCCCCGTGGTCTCGTGGATTTTGCTCCGCTCTTCCGGTTTTCCTTCCACATTCAGAATCAACATGCGTTTAGAAGTGTTTGCTGCTATAAATGTCCACGTGATAAGCTACTTCCTTGAGCTATCATTTGTGATCAGGTTACTTTGAAAAAGAGAGCTTTACCTGGGAAAATAAAAAATAGCTTAAATCAAAATAGTTTAATAGTTAAGAAGTTATTTGTCAGTGGTGACTCATTCGCCAATAACACGTAAATCATGTTTGTGCTATGAAGAAGGCGATCGTCTAAAACGTTGACTATTACTATGAATATCGCCCCCCCCCCCCCTCCACTTAAGGCCAAGGTAGTATTAACGAATGTTTTTTTTTTATGAACGGTACGTGTGGTACAATTCAGTTTATGTTTCCAGTTCTAAACTTGAGTTTGCAAAACCAAATCTTCGAATTATTTTTTACAACGTCTGGTTAGTCCTCTTTTTTATAAAGACCTTCCCCATGCCACTTGAGTCATGGGGGTTGTTTGGCCATACTTCGCCATTCTGGTCAGTGCGGTTTCGTGAAGGTTGGAGGAGGGGTGGGGATGGTGTTTTAAGGATCACTTCAGATATTACTCGCCACTGATGTTAGCCGTGACTCAAAAGTTCACCAGCAAAGTGGCGCGTTGCATTAATCCTGGGGGTGCGAGAGATAGCCGGATTGATTTTATAAAGTAAATCGAAACACAAATTAGGCACGTGCAACTGCTTGTTTCATCAAACCTATGTATTTTTTTTTTACGATTGACAACCAAAAGGGGCGCAAGGCTGCAGCAAATGTTAAGAACGTTTGCGCTAACAACTATGCCACTGATACTCTCATAGTTGCTACAATTGCAATTGTTCCAATTTTTTTTCATCTCGAAGCCGCGCACATCAACAGATATATCGGCCCCGTCTCTCCTTTCTTGAATAATAAGATCGGGTGCTTGAAACCGCACACCTACCCGGCATTTCGTTTCTGTGAAGAAGACGTCGTTAATGACAAGCGTGGTGAGACGTTTTCTTTCATTCGTGCCACTTGCTGGAAGGCTGGCCCTGGTACACCCAAGTGAACACAGAGTCCGTGCAGGTACCGTATTCTCTGGATTATAAGACGCACTCGAAAATAAGACGCGTTCCCTCCCCCCCTCCGCCTCCCCCCGACCAAAACGTGTGCCCGGTGTCAATAAACGTATACAAATCACGTCGTATAAACACACACACACAACTCTTCAATCATCATTCACAGCCTGTGCAACTTTTATTTTCAACTACAGAGGGGGGAGTAGTGCGCCTTAACATTGGTGAATACGGTCATTCACACTCGTAGCGTACTCGTATGGTGGTGGTGAGGATGATAGATGAAGCACACACATATTTTTGACATTTGCTTTTGGAGTTGAAAGACTGAAAAGCGTTCCTGGTTAGCCAACTTTGCATTTCATTATTATCATTACCAGCAAGTCCGTTTTCGAGTGGCACACATTCACCGCAAGCGCATAAACACCGTTGTCTTTTTATTGCAGGGACTGGACGGGTAATTCATCGGCTGAAAGATAAAATAATATTCTATTCGTATCCTACAACACGTGCATTATATAGCCTTCGTGTGTCGGGCCCTTTGTAGTGGTGGTTGGTGGTGTAGAAATTGTGGTAAATGTTTGCACCCCCCCTCTTCGAGACGATTAATAACCGTGACGTTACGTACGCGCAGTTGTGTCGATTTCCCCACGAAACGCAACTTAGTGTGTGCTGGCTGTCCATTGGTGAATATGTAAAACAATGTGAATTATCTCTCGAATAATAATAATACGAATAACAGCTCCTATCCACGGGATATTAAAAAAAAAACCTGCATTGCTTTAGTGCGATGCAATGATGTACATGTGTATGAGACTCACACGTGAATATGTACATGTGCATTTGTGTATACAATGTGTCTATATGGTGTACGTGAATATACCTACGTGTCGTTGCGACGATGCACACACACACACAAACGTCGTGTGTGCGTGTGTACAAATGCATGCGCATACATATACAGTTTGGACACATGTATCCACACCTCGCGTTGTACATATTTCCAGGATGCCTTTACGAACAACAACAAAAACCACTCCAGTAGAGAGATCTTGCGAGAGCTGACAATTTACAAACAAACACAAGGGCAGTGATTTTGACCGCACGCAACTTATTCGTACATCGCGAGCCAGTGTCCTTAAGAAGTTCAACGCGCATTTGTCATCCGTCAGTGTTTCTCTCTCACTCGCCAGACACCTTGAAAACCCAACTGAGCCGAAAGAAATTCCAGCCCTACCCCCACGACCCGCCTCCCTTGTCGAGTTGTCAGTGTCTCCTTGCCAGCGTGGGTCTCTCGTGCATGTAAGTGCTGTGTGTATAAGGGGGGGGGGGGGTGTTGTGTAAGGGGGGTCGTTCAATACACGTGGAATGTGAGTGCGAGTTGTATGTACATTTACCCGTAGGCTATAAATATATTTTTATGCAACGATAATGTCATCCGAATGCCAACCCTTGCCCACCATCACAACAAACAAACCCACTTGTGCGCGAGTTCGAAACGGTAGTCTAGCGGTTAGCACCCTTCGCTACGAACCCGGCGACCTGAGTTCGATTCTCGCTCACGGCCAACACCAGTGACGATTATCTGAACCGGTCCTGGGCTTCCCCTAGGTCGACTCAGCCTCAAATGACTACCTGGTGCGGGCCTCTCCACCCCTCGTGCGCCGTGCCGGCCTTCATAGGTGCTCGCGAACAGCACTTGCCCCTACAGTCTGTTAAAGGCTATACGGGGGATCTTTGTCTTTGAAGCCCTCCACGTGCCGTCCGTTGACACGTCACAAACGGAAGGGGCACGTGAGGACCGCGTGGCCACTCGTTTTAATCGACGACAATAAGTTAACCGGTGAAGTATATAACTCGTTATTTGTAAGGTGTGCCCGGCGTCATGAGACCAGTCCTCTTGTATCAACTATAAAGTGCTCAAACAAACCTGTGGGTTATAATATGCGTTATCTATTATATATGTGAGCGTGTGTAAATTGATAAACAGTAAATATATCTGCATGTGCATATATAAAGTTATACATGCATATACCAATATATGCATATATACTGGAAGTCTGTATATGACCAATGCTCGATATGCATATTTGCATATGAATACATGCATATATCAATATATGTATATATAAGTGGACCCTTGTACATAAAGCATATATGCACACACAGGATGAGACCAAGTTTTGTTTTGTCGTCGAGTTTTGGTGATGGGACAAGTGATGAACACGTGCTTTGTTACGTGAGTCGAATGTTCAACTTGTATATCGTATATACACCATAACCAACACCTCGGAAAAAATGTGTTCATAGACACTGCAATAGCGACAATACTCCGTATCCTATTCGTGTTGTCTCAAGTACAATTAACATGGCGCATTCCGAATTCATTATCTTGGTATTTAAACCTCAAACACGAGCGACTGATACCTTATTTTTCCCGCACGCAGTGTACAGTATAAGTATTATTATGATTATGGTTATTAATTATGATTTGTTTGTCTGTATATAAAGTACATAAATATACATACAAATATATGCCGAGTTAATTTAATAAATAATACAAAAGCAAAAAAACACACAAAACATAGGAATGAAACGGTGGCACGGATACAAAACAACGGCGAACATCGTCAGGAATGCGCAGGACATCGGCGCCGGTGTGGGCTGAACGATTATTGGAACCGAATTCGAGCCCGTCAGTTCCCAACTTTTGGCCCGTGTGTGCCCAGGGGTTGGGCCCTCCTCGTGCTGGGTCAGTGGGGGTGGTTAAAGCCTCGTGCGCGCGCGGGTTGCTGCGTTTCCTACCGGTCAGTAGAAACCCGAGCCGTGCCGTGCCCAAGACGTTGTTGGAACGGCCCCCAGCCACGTGCTCGTTTCTTATCCCAACGATGGGACTTGGGGGGGAGGGGAGTGGAAGACGTTGGGCTTTAAAGGGGCGACATGTTAAGCGTGAAACCAATAATAAACCATGCTACCAATTGAGGGTGTCTAAACAGTGTGTCCTTGTAAGTTGTACTGTAGTGAATTTACACGCCACACTCGCGCGCGCACACAGACACAATTTATGGCTCACCCTGGGTAATTATATCACAATTTGAAAAAATAAGAATAGGTTTTCATAGCTGTCAGCCCATACAATTTACCCGTAAACCTTGTACAGGCAAATTGAGTTTTCAGGGCCATACGGCGTACAATCCGGGGAAACATTTTTATTTTGTCTATTTGTTTGTGTTTCTCCCTTGTGATGAGACTTTGTAGGATGAACGTTGAGATTTTGAAGGGTGTCACACAAGGTCTGAATTGGTCTGTAATAAGGTAGGGCACTGCTCAGAGGTTGACAGGTATGGGTTTTACCCTTTCTGGCAATCAAACAGGTGTTACGATGTTCAAACACCAGATTTTTCATTTTGCAAGGAATCAAGTCTGCATTAACCACACGTACTCGTGGTGAACATGCAAACGAACATGCTCTGATAACATATGCATTGTCTTTGAAACTGATTGGCCTAGACCAGAGACAGCTTTCTTTATGGCCTAGTCTAACCAGTGTCAGGCCAGAGAACGCCAAAAGGCGAATAATAAAAAGACATGTCACGATTGTTAAACGACAACGGGCAAAACCGCTCCCAGCGGAACATAGAAGGGAAACAATAAAATAATAAAAATATAAAAAAAAATTATCACGACGTTTCGACTGCAACACAAGCAATCATCATCAGGTGTGAAATCCACAGCAAGAAAATTTGTGACTTTACCGAAAGAAGCAAGAATATAAATCCTTGCAGTCACGAAAGCTTTAAATCAGAAGGAATGAATGTTAGGCACGATTGGTACGTGACGAACGGACAAACGGCACGGGGCGTGCGACTCTTTGATTGACCAGCGGCAGCGGTCTCAAAGCGCCTCCGCCTAATGAAGTGACCACGTGGTTCGTTCCTTTCGACGGTAACAATGTAAAGGTGCAGCCCTGCAATTGCTCACGCAACTGGCGGTGGAAGGGCTTTCCACTAGAGAGAGCTCTAGAGCCGTATCTTCTACACATTCACGCTTAGCAGACGCGTTGGTGACGTTGGTAGCGTTCTGATGTTCTGACCCGCCCCTACTGGACATATTTGAAAAAGCGCTTTGAATCTCATAGGATTCCTCCGGTTTAAATAAATATTCGGATGCGGAGGTGGTCGTACCCACACTTGACCCCAGCACATGCAACCTGAAAAGAAACTGGGTATTTTTTTGGCCTACTCTTCCACGCTGGCCAAATGTTTCGCAAAAGGTGGGGGATACCCACACTTTACCCCCACCACATTCAACCTGCCCATCAACCAACTGATTATACTGGTAGGAACACACTGGTTCCACCAGCCCACAGGGGATTATTGTGTCCGTCCGTCGTGCAGGGAGGGGCTGGGTGTGGAGGGGCGGGGTGGGGTGGGGAGGAGAGGGTGGGAAGGGGCTGGGTAGGGAGGGTGGGGCTGGGTGGGGAGGAGTGGGGCTGGGTGGGGAGGGGCTGGTCACCCCGTGGTGCCCTTATAAAACTCAACGTTTAACCTACTCACGCCAGCTTGTGCCCGCCCTCACAGTCGGGCATATTTGCGGAATACACCACGCCGCCGTTGACCCTGGCCATTGACCGAGTAGCCCAACGTTCCTACCAGCTCCCTCCGCAGGAATGTGTTACTGCTGGGTGGACCGAGACTGAAGGGATTTCATCAGCTGTTTCAGCTCCGCGTCGCGAGATGGCAATCGTACCTGGCGACCTCTGAACTCTCGGTCCAATGGGCTCGCTATTTACTTCACAGCAGCTCCCTTCGGTTCTCAGTTAAAAACGGTTACAAATGTCGCACGCTTATTGCTCGACATTCCTAAACGTGCGCCAAACCGGTAACCGTTTTTTTTTACCGGTTTGTTTTATTCGGTTAACAGTTACGCAAAAGCGATTTCAACATACCTGGTTTATGTAGCCTAATGCAATGCGGTATCAATTGATGTTTTAGAATGATGTATTATCGTCAGGATGTTGCAATTTGCATTAACATTTCAGATATCGATACATCATCGCCGGCCATGATCTACCCACTGCTGGATGAAAGCCTCCCTCAACTTGTCACCATGCCCCATCGCAATGCGAGGATCCATCTCTCCCCAGACTGACGTGAGCTGAAACCTTCGCTCCATCTCCGTGGCGGTACTATTCTTGCAGGTTAAATTTCGATTTAAAGCTTTCGTGACTGCAGGGATTCATCTTCTTGGTTCTTTCGGTAAAGTCACGTAGAAGGGAAATAATAAAATAAAAAAATAAAACATAATAAAATAATTTTCACGACGTTTCATTCTTCACGTGAGGACGGCTGCTTGCGTTGTGGCCGAAACGTCGTGAGAATTATTTTATTATGTTTTATTTTTATTATTTTATTATTTCCCTTCTACGTGACTTTACCGAAAGAACCAAGAAGATTCTTGCAGGTTTTTGCTTTTCTTTCGTCAAAATACGAGCGAAGTAGTGACTTTGGACTGAATGAAATTACAACAAAAATTGGGGGGGGGGAAATACATTATTTTTGACCCCAGAATGAATCAATTTTGATGTGCTGGATGGCCTCTTACTGGGTAAGTGCGGGAAGAGCCTTGGTTGCGTAGGCAACCTTGCGCAAAACACATCGCATAATGGCAAGTTGGAAAATTACCTGATAAATATGCCACAGAATAAACGCGCTGGCTACATGTCTCATTCCTTCTCTGCACGTAAAAAAAAACAAGTACTGTATATTTTACACAACACATCAGCCGCACTGTCTGTCTTACCCTATGAGGCCCAATTTCTACGGAAAATTATGGAAGACGTCAACATAATCGTAATAAAATGAATATGTACCACCCCACAATAAAGTTAGAACAAATGTGTCTCCGTGTCTGTGTTTTGTCTCTCTCTCTCAAATTTTGCAATCTTTGGAAGAACGTAATCAACCAGGTAGGGTGTTGACTGTTGTGTTAGCCGACTCTCTGTGTTGTATTGCATTATATTTCTAAGTTTACTAGGTTTGTTTTCTCATGCATTCTTACCTGATGACGATTGCTTGTGTTGCAATCGAAACGTCGTATTATATTATTACATTTATTTTCTTTCTACGTGACTTTACCGAAAGAACCAAAGAGTAAAACTGGTGAAACTATCGCATTTTTAGACGCCACCTCCAACGGTTGCTTTAAAATCAGGCGGAAATGGATGTCTTATAATGCCGAGAATATAATTGCCTAATGTTTTGGACAATTACTGTTGAACAAACTCTGTTAAAGGGTCTTTATCCGGAATATCAGCTCATTGTGCATTGTATATATGTGTAACGAACTCTTTGGGTTTTTGAATGGCGACCTGGTAAGGAACTGTAATTTACGTCCAAGCTATTGCATGGGACATCAGCACAAATTAAACAAACTATAGGAGACCTTTCGGATAATGACCCTTCATTGGACAGGATAGACATTGTATGAGAAGGGCGCTCAGAAGAAGCTCCGATCGCACACAGTTGCTCATTAACCCCAACATGTGCTTTGGAGTTAAGGTTCAAGACGTCCCATTTAAATGTGTTCTGTTACAAGTCAAGCCTTCCTATGAAGCAACCCTGTAGCGTGACCTTGTTTAAAGGGGGGGGGCATACAAAAAACTAAGTGGAGGGGGGGGGGTTAGAGGCGGGGGGGGGGGTGGTGGTGGATACAGTGAATGTTAACCAAACGTTTATCAAATGTCAAACGCTAAATACACGCGAGCCTATTCTTGCTGATTCATCTAACCGAAGCAGACGGGCAGGTCTCTTTTTTATGATTTTGATGTTTGGAGAGCCACAAAAAATAACACCATCGCTTGCCAGTGTAAAAATGTTATCCCAACAATGTTTTGACTGTCTATAGACTCCGCTTTCAGATGAGCTTCTACGGCCTTCTGGAACGCTCTTCCTTCCGATATTAAGAAGCCACTGGTGCTGTGCACTTTTAAATCATCATCTAGATTGAAAACTATTTTTTTTAACTTATTTGTGTTTAGTTGTCTGCCCTTGCCCCGCACCTCCAATTAGCACGGTTGGCTACGTACGGTGCGAAAGAAGATCAAACACACGTACGGTATAGACAGGGTTACTGTCGTCGTGCAAATGGTGAGAACAATTCGATCTCCCGAAGCGGCAGTTAAAACTATAGGTAAGTTTCTTAAATCTGCCCGCCTCTGTATAACCACGACTGGTCGACGATGGGCGGCTGGTCGCGTGTGACGCGTGCGGTGGGGTCAATTGTGAATTACCCCCACTTCTCCCATGATGTTAAAACTTGAAATTCTGTACCCACTGATATATATATACAGGAGAAACAACTGCTGAAATAGGGGGTCGTCTGTGGTTGCCCCACCTGATGACGATTGCTTGTGTTGCGATCATAACGTCGTGATCTATTATTTTTCTACCTACGTGACTTTACCGAAAGAACCAAAGAGTATGGATTCCTGCAGTCACGAAAGCTTCACATCGAGATTGTATACAGGACTCCGTTATCAGTGCTTCGGTGTCCTACGGCCTGGACATCATCAGTTCACGTTCTTTGCCACGTGAGTATAATATGCCTTCTCTGGAAACGCTTACCCTGCCTCAGCCAAATTGAGACATTATGTCTTCGTGGCCTCTCACCTGACTCAAGGCTCGTTTTGTTTAAAATACCAGCGGCAGCCTCGAGTGACCACTGGGGGATGTTCATCATCAGCCACGATCCATCCTATACTGGCGGTTCCTCCTTCAACGGTCCTGTGATGCATCAAACAATCCCGCACCTTCTTAGTTCTTTCGATAAAGTCACGTAGAATGAAAATAACAAAATAATAAAAATAAATGCTTTATTATTTTACGTGACTTTACCGAAAGAACCAAGAAGATGAATCCCTGCAGTCACGAAAGCTTAAAATCAAAATCCCGCACCTGCACGCGAGCCGGTTTGATC